TTGCCTGTTTGTTATTTTGGCTCGCATTTGGCAACGCCGCGCAATATTTTTGTTTTGACAAGCGCTCTCTCCTCTCTCTCTGTACGGTCGTCGCTTGGCCGCTCTCTCTCAGCATCAGAGCGCGCAGTTTGTATCAGTTTCGCTCTTCCGTGCTTGTTTGTTTTTGCTGCGTGCCAGTGGCAGTGTTTTGCTTCTTTTTTCTGCTTCTCGCTGCAATTTGCCGACCGCAGTCGCGCTGCCCGCCCCCGTCCTGTCCACGTCCCTGCTCCCGGCTCCCCGCTCCCGCCAGCGCCTCGTCTGTATATATGCATGTACATATGTATGTTTGTAGGTGTACGAACACAAGCGTACGAAAAATATCAGGCCGGGCGGTTCGCGATTCGCAGCGACGCAGCAGAGTCGGCGGCAGAGTTTGTCCGCTGGCGGCTGACAGGTACACACATATGAATGTCTGCATGTGTATGTAGACTAAGTATGCATGTGTGTGTGTTCTACGTAATTCAATTTCAACCGCCGCCAGAGCATTCAAGGCACAAGACTAAGTTCCTTTGAATACATACTTTAATATGTACATAAATATGTTTGTACATATGTTGTATACCCTAACTAAGCGTGTTCCGCAGGGCTGCTATTTCTAGACCTACTTAAGTAGGTACTATCTTTGGTACATACCCACTGAGAGCCCAATCTCGTCCGCGATTTGCGTCCACACCTTCAGCTTCACTTCCACGTTCTTGTAGTCCGGATTGTGATTGTTGTAGACCACGTCGTACCGCTTCACGATATCGATGAAGTCGGAGGTGTTATCGGATGTGGTTGAGGACTCACTAATTGCGCGCGCCGCTTTCGTGTCCTTCATCCTGTTAACGGTATACTGGCTGGCTCAGCTAACGGTTATTCGAAAACACAAAACCTCTGTTCCACAGTGCTCGGGGCGGGCGAAGTCTTTTTATAGGCGTGTAGGCGCTCTACTGACCGCCCAGCCGCGTTCTGTGTTTCTCCCCGGCCGCTCCACCAGCCACCAACACAGGCGTAGGCAGAGAGCCGAACGGAACGCCAACGGAGAGAGCGAGAGAGAGTAAACTGCGAGCGAGAAACCGTCCGACTGCCGTTTTGTATGACCGCTTCGACAAAAGTTGGACACTTGAATGAGACGATGAGCTGCATGCACAAACCCAACAGCAGCAGCAGCACCAGCAGCAGCAGAATCGGCAACGGCAGCAGCGGCGCCAAGCCAGGCAGCAGGGAGACCATTCCTCTCCACCCACCCTCCGGCCCGCACTCTTCTTGCGCACTCACTTATACACACAGACACATAGCAGCCGCAGCAGCACCACCAGCAGCAACAACAAAAGCGGGCCCCAACAGCGACGCGGCCGACCGTCGTTGGAGGACGTGTAAAGAAGAACAAGAAGGCAACCTCATCATCATCATAGCTGGCAGTGGCAAAGGCAGTGGTGGAGAAGGAGGAGGAGTAGGAGGAGGTAGAGGTAGAGGCACATACAACAGACATATAGACGGCAGCAGCGCAGTTTGGCGCTCGCAATAAAACGCGCAGCGTCGCACCGCTCCAACAGCCGCAGCCACAGCAGCAGCAGCAGCAGAAACGTTAACCGCCCACATTCGCCGCCTCCCTCCCCACAAGGCAAAAACATGAGATTGTTGTTGCTGTTAGTTGTGGCTGCTGCCGTTTCATTTTGTTGTTGTTGTGTGTGTGCGTGAGCGCGACAAAATCGCAACAGTGCGAGGCAGTGGATGTGGATGCCAACACCCACACCCTACCTCTCTCACCATCTCTCTCCCTCTCTCTGTCCCTCTTCTCCCAGGCATTGGCATTGCAGCCTTAGCTTTCGAGGCAGCTTTATTTGATTGCCGATGCAGAAACTGTTGCACCTTCATCACGTGTCGTGCCGCCAGAATATGTTGTTGCCTGCACTCACACATACCACACAGATGCATCTCTGAAGTTCAAGGTCATTGATTTGGTGGCATACGGAAATGGCAGAAATATCGCACAATTACCAATCCCGGGCTTTGGCCTGCTTAAGCAGAGATCACTGTGCTCTTCGCTGCCTGTCCTTATCGGCTCGGCCGTCGCTGCGTCAGAGCTTTTACTGTGAAAGCGTTGTTTCTTGTACATATGCATGTATGTACGTACATCAGTATGCATGTACATACATATGTATGGGTTGTACCGCTTTAGCCCAGCATCCAAGAGGGGGAGAGAGCAGGCGACGGGGCCCAGAAAAGTTGCTCCATTCCATCGATCCAAGCAAGTCCCGTAGAATTTCTGTGCCCGCCGCTCTCCCCCCGCCCCACGGCTCCCTCATCTCCTCTGACATCAGTTCGTGTTGTTGCTTTTGTTGCGACTCTTTTTCCTTTTCCAAGCTGTTTTTGTTGCCAGCGCCGTAGTCGTCGTCGTTGGCGTCGGCCCCCACTCAGCCCCAGTGCTGACTGCTGCCGACCGAACCTACGACCAGTTAACCCCCCTCTCGACAGCCAGCCACTGCACGCCCGCCCGTCCGCGCCCCCTTGGCTCCTTGTGCGAGGCGGACTGAGCTGAGCCCCAAACTAACACGTAGATGGCGCCTGTGTGTGTGTGTGTGTATGTATATGTGCCAGTTGCGTGTGTGTGTTTGTATCTCTTTCGCTTGTGCGGGTTTTTGTTGCTTTTATTATATTTTTTCGCTTTTCTCTCTCTATGCCCGTGCCTTCCTTCAGCCTTCAGCCAGCGACAGCTCCTACTGCGACGTCCGTTCCACCTAGCTCCCCTGGCTCTCTGTTTCTCTCTTACTGTACACACGCGCACACACACACACGCAAACACAGGCAGTCAGTGGCAGCCGCCTGTCTCGTCCTGGCGGCCGGCCCCCCTCCCACCGCTGTGCCAGCTCCCGGCATGCCTCTTCCATACTCATCATCATCATCGCCATCATCATCATCGGCTTCTGCCAGCCCAGCCCCCACTACTCCCCCAAGTAGCAGCAGCAACAACATTTTGTGGAGAGATGTGCCGCAGGGTGGGGGAAGGTGGGACGTTAGGCGTTTTGCCCGTCGTTGTTCGGCGGCGGCTATGGCATGGCTATGCATGGGCGTATGTATTAGTTGTGTGTGTGTGTGTGTACTTCTGTCTCTCCGCTGCTGTTTTGGTTGTGTTTGTGGAGCAGGGGCGGAAGTGGGTGAGGGGGGGGACGGTGCAGAGAGCGGCCTACCTACCGCCGCTGGAAAACATGTTGTTGTTGTTGTTGTTGCTGCCTTTTGTAAATCGATAAACGATGTCCGGAGTGCGGCATAGTCGAGCGCTTTGCGTGTGTACCTCCTCCCTCTACACATGTACATACGTGTGTAAGTACATACATAATATGTACATATACGCTATGTATATGTATGTGTGATTTTGTATATACTCTGGTTGCATTACATATCATATATGTAAATTGTATATATGTACAACATGGTGCCTTAGTGTGAGTGTTGGTCGGTGCAAAGCGGCCCAAAGCATGTGTCCCACGGCTGGTCAGCGGCGCTCTGGAGTTTGATGCAACCAGCCCACATATGCATGAGGGCAAACCCATACATACTCGCTTGCACCTGACCTGACCGCCATTCCTCTTTCGTCATGCCTTAGACCCCTGTTGACAAAATTTGCCTTAGAAATATCTATCTATCTCGAAATTTATCTTCAGCCAAAAGAAATCTTCCATCTTTCCATCTTTCAGCTCAAAATCAGAACCTAACAAAGATCCCGTTTATTGGGAGTACTGCCTGGCGGTCACCTCACGCGGAAAGGACATCCCGCAGGCGTACACTTTTGATTGATTGATTAAAATATTAATTTCTAGATTTACCTTAATCATAGAAATTCACAATAAGTATACCCGCTTCATTGCACTGATTGGAAGTTCCATTATAAGTTTTTGATAAGACGAAGATCCCTTTACTGAGCTGGACATGGCAAAACGTCGATCTTTTCGGAGGAAACCTAATCTCAAGCGTGATTTCTTAAGTTTTTGGTTCCATTGACCTGTTGAAAGATCTTTCCTAAACGCATTTTGTAACTGGAACATGGATGAAATGCATTCTCAAGTATGCCGACATGCAATGTCCAATACGAAAACGAAGGAGTAGCAGCTTCTAGCCCATATGATCTGGGGCTCACAATGATCAGCCAAGTATGCTTCTTACGGCATCAATTATAGATTATAACATGTATACGATGTGTGAATAATATTAAATTGTCTTTGGCTCCACTGTGCCCCAGGCCAGTCCATATACGATTTGGCAACTTAAGTCCTGCCTCCATGTTCTCTCTCTGTTCTTCGAGACTTTTTATAGTGGTATTTATGAATAAAATCCTGATTCCATATCTTATAACTATAGTATGTGCTTAATTTTATGCTTTACTTACTTACTTATTGCTACAGCAACAAGTAGAATATCATGATGGAGATACAGTTCCACTCCTATGAGAAGATTACATTGAAAAAGGATCAGGGATTCTATCATTTGAATTTCCAGAATGTGCCCTGAAACAACTTTATAATGGAAAACCCGCTGAATGAATGGATTCCTCGTCAAAGCCCATGGATCCACTGTCGGGGGAAGTCGTGAGATCTACCTGCTGAGCTACAATAGGCGGAACAACACACCATCCACGCCATGTCATACGCCCGGGAGTTTCTTATTGATTTCGCGCAGGCCGCCGTCTTCTAAGCAATTTCAGCAAGGCCGAGATGTTGGAGGATGCGAGTTTTCTGAAGGAAGCTTTGAAGATTTTCTACAAATTTTCCAATCAGAAACCACTTCGAAACCAAATATCCGAGAAGCGCTTGCCCAACAGTTTTTTTCAAATAAAGAATAGATTTAGATTAATTTAGTTAGGATACATCGTATACGCATTGATTCTGGGAAAAAATCTTGTGTCCTGTGATAAGCACGAGGAACTATCCAAAGAATTGTTTTTGTATGCATTAATGAACATTAAAGGCGAACGCGATGAGCTAATCCAAATGAGTGCGGGGACCCATTGGCCCCACAATGTCCACGTCCCTACCTAATTCCCTCTGCCGCTCCTTGATCTGCTGCTGCTGGAATAGCAGTTGCACCAGGATAATCACATAGTTGGCCATGCCGTTGTACACCTGCAATGGCGAGACGTAGCTACTGAGAGGAACTCTTGGCTAGGGGCTCAGCTCACCAGGAAAATGGTTGACACACTGAGCGGTATGCTGCTCCCGATGAGGGCCGCCTGCCTGTTGTGCATGCGCCAATGCTGGAAGTCCTCCACCTGACTGCGGGCCAGTGGCTGCTGGGGAAAGTGCTGCGAGTAGAGGCCAAGGAGGCGGAGGCAGTTTCGCTTCTGCGGAGCAGGCACAAACAAGGATGATCTCCCTTAGTTATCGCAGCAGAGAACTCACCTCCCGCTGAAGCAGATAGCCATAGGTGCTGGTGATGATTAGCTTGTAGGAGTGAAGCGTGACGTGGAGCAGCATGAATGTGTACTCTAGGTCCCAGGCCTCGGACCCCAGAACCTTCTGGCAGATCACGTACACAAAGCAGGTCATCAGGCTGAACTCGTAGAAGAACCCGGCGGCAGCCGCGAACCCAAACACTGCATTCAACTCTGCCAGCAAATGGGAGCACCGCTTGGTGAACTCGAACAGCTTGGCAATCCTCCGATGGACCGTCGTTTGTGGACGATCGCTACCAGTACTTCCTTCGTACTCTTGATGGAGCAGCTTCTGGATGAGGCGCAGGCGCAGCCGCACGAAATCCATGATGGCAATGTGAACAAATCCCACCAGGCCCAGGGAGCTCGTCAGCAGGATGTAGGTGCCAGCCATCAGCAGGGTGGACGAGAGGCCGCAGGTGCACCGAGCCATGTCGAGGATGAGCGACAGAGAGAAGGAGAAGAAGCAGATAGTCACAATCACAGTCCCGTACCAGTACTTGGAGCGAGTACGCTGGTAGTTCCAGCGCACGGAGGGAAACTCCTCGGAAATGGCAAGGTCGAAGCCCTGCATGTTGGCCAGCAGCTTGACGTGGCGGCGCCGCTGGACGTCCAGCGTGAGGAAGTTTTCCACGTAGGTAATCGAGCAGCTGAGGCACTCCCACATGATGATCACCTTGACCACGGGAGTGAGGTGGCCAATCATGGCGGCGGCCATTCGCTCATCCTCCAGCTTAATCAGCACGCTGCCCAGGTAGCCACAGACGGCGAAACACCGGACGCAGACCGCATACAACACGCTCACAGGTGATGAAGCTGCTCCGCCGTCACTCTGGGTGCGCACCCGGAAGGTCACCAGTCCCCAGTAGAAGAGCAGGCTGTAGAGGTTGCCGTAGCAGTAGATGAAGCCATCGCTCGACGGCTTGCGGGGCTTCATGTGGCCGTTGCTGAATGATCCTGGCCAGAGGCGTGCAGAGGTTCTTATCCTCGCGTACAGAGGTAATTAAGAGCGATAGCATCGGACTAATTGAATACATCGTTTGTCAAGGGTGTTGCGCTTGTATATAACGATACCAAAAGTCTATACACTTGGGTACATACAGTGGGCTGCAAAAGTGAGTAAACGTGCTACCATGTAAAGCAACTTCAGACCATAATATTTCAATATTTCATATTATTCCTTATTACTATGGTCTGAAGTTGCTTTACATGGTAGCACGTTGGTCCTCTACAAAAAATTTATGTTATTCAGTTCAGAGAGGACTATTTACAACTTCTACAAGCCTAACTTCTTAATTTTCCGGAGAAATGTATTTATCCTGAATTTAACTAACTTGTTTACAAGACAGGAATCCGAAGCAAATTGCGAAAAATGTTCGAGAATGACTGGTTAATCAAAATTTTAAATTGCTGGAGTGGTTATCTCAAAGAACCGACCTTAATCCGATTGAAAGCCTACGGTCAATCGTGAAACGACGGCTTGAGCACTACGAATCAGCGCCATCTAACCAAGGCGATCTCTGGGGATGTATAGATGCGGAGTGCAATCCAATTTCAAAAGATATTTTTGGGAATTTGATAGAGAACATTCCAAACCGTATTAAAAAAGTAATATCTAATATGGGTCTATGCGCAAAATGTTAATATTATGATTTACTTTAATTTTTATGAAAAAGTGCAAAACCGAGTACATGCGAGTTCTTTTGGTTTTTTACTTTTCATTCTTTGAAAAATGTTTACTCGTTCTTGTAATTATTGTTTATTTTTTAAGAATACAAGTATTTATATGGGGAACAAATTTGGTTTGTTTGGCTTCATTCGTTTGCCTGTTATGGGAGGCTAAAGTCAGTGATTATGAGTATGTACTCACTTTTGCAGCCCACTGTATGTACGTACATATGTACATAGGTATCACACATAATTTTTTTCTCTCTAAACGAATCAAGATCGGTCCCAGTAAAGTGCTAGAAACGCGAATATAAATAAAGTCATAAATTATCAACTATAACATGGCTTTTTTTCTCCATGAAGTGGCTAAAAAAAATATTTAAAATTGGGATCTATGCAAGTATTTAAGCTGACTGCTACAATGCTGTAAAAACAGGCTGCTATGAAACTTAAAGTTTGCTGCTATGAAACTATTAATGCCGAGTAATTTCCGTCGTTGGCCTACACCATAGGGATTCCCTACGAAAATTCATTTATCTCAGCTCAATCTTTTATGGGACGTTTAATATAAAGTCTATATAAAGTTGGGGGTGCCGACGCTTTCGTTGTTGGGAACCTTACGGATGGTAACCTACCGTTACATTTCATCCGATGTACAGAGTATAGGATTTGTTCTTATTGCTTGTGCCCAAATGACAATAGCCGCGGCGTACATAGGATTATATTATGAATTATTATTGATTAACCATTTATTACACATATGTAGATATGACAGCACAACTGACCAGTATTTGCCATTGCCGGAGCGATTTTTATTTATTTGAAATTCATACAAAAGTGTATTGGCGTACTTTACTTCTTGGATTCGGGTTGTTGGCGCTGTTAGTGCTAGTGTTGATGTTGTTGGCATTCGGTGGGTTGCGGCGCAGTGCCTTCTGCAGGACATGGGCATCCGCGGGTTCGATGCGTTTGTAGTACTGCTCCTTGGTGTCGACGATTTCGAACCCAAACTTCTTGTAAAACTCAATGGCGCCATCGTTGTTGATCTGCACATGCCTGAAATGCGCTCGATAGTCAATGAAAACCATACAATCATCTGTAATGTAATATTTGTGGTTCCCTTACAGAAAAATGCTGTCAAAGTTGCCGTCCTTCTCCGCGTAGTTCAGTATGTGCTCGAACATGACGGTGCCGATACCCAAGCGCCGGTAGGGCGACAGGCAGCCAAGTGTCATGATATAGAGGCGACGCTGGTTCTCCGTTGTATCGATGCGGCAGCAGACGGCCCCGACCACAATGTCGTTGTAGTAGGCCAATTTGGCCAATTCGCCAGCTTCCAAAACATCCACATAGAATTTGTCATTGTAGGAGACCGGGAACACAACTGTATTGAGCTTTTTCAGTTGTTTTATGTTATGCGGCGTAACGTCGCCCAAGTCGATGCTATTTCTACAAAATAAAAAAACCAAGAAAATCAGACCCGAAGCGACGCACACTTTTAGGTTAGGATTTTTGGAGGGAGCTCTGGGTAGTGGTCTTTACAGAGGACAGGACACCTCACTTACCGAGTCATAGTTATTCAGTAGCTCCTTACGATATAATAATGCGCCTAGCGCCAATTAATTATGATAGAAAAATGTGTTTTCGCAGGACAGCTGTTCGGAATCGTTCTGCTAGCGTAAGCTATCGGATTTGACATCGATAGCTTTTGCGCACTTGTGAGCAAGTAATTGTATCGAAATCCCCTAACGCGTTTGTAAATAGAAAATTCTCAAACATTTAAATAATTCTCGTAAAAAAAAACAAGAACTCCGAGCAGTACATTAAAATGAACCCCAACATGAACATGATGCCTATGTCGGGACCGCAGATGATGCAAGTGATGCAGTCGTCGCCTCAGCCCATGATGCCGGCTGTCCCTCCCGGCCCCGTGCCCCAACAGCCCTTGCAACAGCAACAACCGGCCGAGAAACTGGACAACATATCGCGGGTTAAAAGTCTACTGGGACCCCTGCGGGAGTCGATGTTCCTAACCATCCGATCGAGTGCATTCACGCTGCAGCAGAACAACCTAGCGGACAATTTGAAACGGGATACAGGAGCCCATGGGCATCATGTGCCACGATTCGATAAACATCTGGAAGACTTCTATGCCTGCTGTGACCAAATCGAGCTACATCTGAAAACGGCGATGCAGTGCCTGCAGCAGCAGAACTCCTCCAACCATTATCTGCCTGGTCTGGTTACGCCGATGCGAATGGAAAGCTTTATGCCCGAAAACGCCGGGCCTATTCCGTACCCCACTTACTTGAATACGGTGCGAGTGCACGTTCAGTCGGCGAAGGACATTCACGACACCTTGATTAGTGCCGCCCAAAATATATCCCAGGCTGATTGATAGTTGTAGTTCATTTAGTTTTCCATACTTATCTTATTTCAAAGTCTAGATCTAAGAACAGAAAAAACAAAACTCTGCAAAATAGCTGGTTACATTCACCATTTACCAGTAGAAATATTATAAGAACTGCTTGTGCAGGATATAATTAAAATTAATAATAAATTATATACAAATTATAATTATACAAACTTAGTGTGGAAAAATGTTAAATATCGTCATAAATTTCATCAATCTGCTTAATTTACATTTTAACGCAGTTTAGGTGAACAAAATCGTGTTGTTTTTTTTTAAGGAAAGGTAAAGGATAGGATGGACCTACAACAGTAATTATTATTATTATTTTCCGCAGTTAAGCTCAATCTGATATCCTGTTTAAATAAAGGGGGCATCAGTGGGCTAAGTTCGCTCAAGCCAAAAAGCAAAACAGAGAAAAACAAAAAAGGCGCAAAATCCAAAAAGGCGTAAAAGTCAGCAGAAACCGACTGAAACTGAAGTTTATTAACAAAACAAAAATGTATTCTCCTCGAAAAAAAGCACACCGTCCAGCAGTCTCTTTTCGGGAGTTTAGTAAGCTAATTAAGAACCTGCCGGACATTGCATTCGACGTGCAAAGCGACCAAGCTGAGGAAGGATCTTACAAAACGCTGGACGAGTGCGCCCAGTGGTACTACGAAGCCTTCTACAAGGATCCCAGTGTACGAAAGCGGTACAAGTTCCAGGTGCGCGCTTGTGCCAAGGTAAAGAAGGATAAGTTGCTCAGTCTGCCCGAGGCAGAAGTAGATGGGACGCCCGAAGAGAGTGAGCATGAATCGGCTGATGATGTTGCAGTCAAAGTGGACAAGTGAGTATAGGTACCACCCAATGTATGCCACATTTTTGGCTAATTCTCTTGACCATTGACAGAATGGGAATGTTCATGTTTCCCGTAACCTTCGAAAACTTTGCAAAGTACGCGGACAGGGATATGATATGCAAGCTCACGACACAGAAGGAAACAAGCACGGAAGACATCCAGTCCGATAGCAAACAGAAAAGAAATCAGTTGCAGAAATTCTACAACTCATTCTACATGTTTCCAGAAGAGCGAAAGTCCACCAATATATTCCCTGAGGCACCGCCTGCACTTTTAGTGAAGTTGCTAAGACCTGGCTATCCCGTAGATGAAGCAACAGGCAGACGTTTAGCAGAGCATAAAAAAACGGGTCCAACAATCCAAGAGAACGAGAGGCAGCGGGAGCCTGAAGCTCCTGAAGGTCCTGAAGCAACCAGGTAAGTCCACGCTATTAATAAAAATGTTACCACAGCAGAGCTCTTCAATTTGTACCCTCGACAGCGACTTTCCCATTGTGAGCTTCCAAGTATTCGAGAAACATTTGGCGAACCTGTACGATATTGTGTGGCAGCTGAAGCTCAACGATCCCGAGTATGTGGTCAAGGATTTTGAGGAGGGGGCCTATTGCTATTACTTGGCATTTTATCTAACGCCGGAGATTCGTGACAGATACAAGTACATCCTAAAGCCGTGTACGTCGGATCTGAGTGCCCGCCTACTTGCCATACCCAGCCGCGAGGAAGCCGAAAAGCTCAGGCGAAATTTGCCAGAGTTGATTAAACCATCGCCAGATCTGGAGCGACCCAAAAGTCCCGATTTGGTCACAGAAACAGCAGTGGCACCTGTCGACTTTAAGTTTTTCAAAAAGTATATCGTGAATCTGGATGACATCAGTCAGCAAATGCGATGCTGCGACGAGTACAAGGACTTATCAAAAGAGGAGTGTGGCGCGGAATACTTCAGGCAGTTTTATAGCTCGCCAGAAATACGCGAAAGATTCCAGTATAAACTGAAGCCTTGTCCCGGAATGGTACGCGAAAGATTGCTGGGTCGACCGGCCTGCTCAGACGGGTAAATTAAAATATGAACGCATTTCACATTTAATTTGAAAATGTTTGTGCATTGCAGGCCATCGAATGGAGCTGAAAAGGCAGCCGAACAGAACCAACCAGCTCCAATAAAGGAAAGCAGTCGTAAGTCAGACCCGTAAGTGTCTCTGTTTTCAATGCTTGTGTGGCTTATGATTGGTTGATTATATTTATCTTTTAGCGAGCCTCTGCCTGAGGAGGAGCATTGTGTCGAGTAAGAAATAATGAATTATGATTGTCGAAACATTTAAAGTCCCTTTTTGTTCGCTTGCAGAAACGATAACAACAACAATAAAAAGTTTCCAGTTACGTTTAAGGAGTTTAAGCGTAGTGTGACGAATCTCAGCGAAATTGTACAGAAAATGCAGCAGAGCGAGGAGTACAGAGAGAAGTCCGAAGAGCAGTGCGCTAAGGAATACTACCAGGGGTTCTATTCCATGCCCCAGATGCGTGAACGCTTCGATTGTAAGTTCAAGCCCTGTCCCGCCAAGAAGTGCAAGCTGCTGCTCCGCTATGCAGTGGAACATCCTGAACCATCCGAAGAGCAGTCTGAAAACATTCCGCCTAAGAAGACAACGTGGGTATATTTGCTTATAATGCAAGATTTTCATTTTAACAGGCATTATCTTTATTGTAATTTCAGAAAGCCGTCTTCTTTGAGCTCCGCTCGTGATGACGTAGTAACTATTGGGTAAGAGAATGCCATATCTTTTTTGTGACCACACTAATAATCTCGTGCTCTTATCTCTGCAGCTCTGCTCGCTTCAAGTTTCCCGTGTCCTTGGGGGTATTCAGGCGCTCTATAAACTACGACGAAATCGTCAGGTCCCGGCTGGGAAAATCTACCGTCAAGCCGCAGCTCCAGGCCCAGACTGCCAACCCAAAGAACCCACAATACGAAAGGTATTTCCGTCAGTTTTATGTCGGGTTCTACGCATTCCCCTATTTTCGCAAGCAACACGCATATCGATTCAAATGTGGTGGGGACAAACAGCTGCTGAAAAAGCTGTGCGACTATGCGGTACCGTTGAATGAGAGTGCCAAGCGGAAAGTGGAAGACGAGCAAAAGCGCCGACGACCGATTGGTAGTCGTGGAAAAGCAGAAGCTGAACCTACTTTGAAGCCCAAGCCAGACCTGACAGACCGCTGTGGCGTCACAAAACCGATTTCCTTTAAAGTATTTTCCAAACTGTTGTACCTCGAAGATGCAGTTAGCAAAATGCAGCTGCATCCAAACTTCGCTGCAATGACGGAAGCTGGGTGCCAACGGCTGTACTACGAGTCCTTCTATAGCACGCCCAGCATACGGGACAAGTATCCGTGTAGAATAAAGCCCTGCCCGGCCGGCATGAGGGCCAACCTACTGCATATCCCCCCCAAGCCGGATAACCTGTCTGATCTCAGATACCCGCAGAGAAACGTATCTGGCCAGCGCCAGAGCACTCCAGATGTGGACAGATTGTATGCGGCTAGGAAAGCCGAGCTAGATGGGTAAGAAAGTTGAGTTTCCTGGCCCCAGGATTCTTTAGATGCATTGTCTCCCTTCCTTTCTTTCAGCAAAGAGAAACTTAACGTGGTCAACTACATGCCCCACAATCTGAGCTCCTACATAGCTCGTCGTGTTGCATGTCCCGAGAGAAGAGCTGTCGTTGAGAAGTACATAGTCGAAACGTTAAGGGATTTAAATGAGGCAGCGGCTAGCAGTTTCTCGGGGCTGGATACAGCTAGGATGGGAATCGGTGAAGAAGAGAAGACAGAGGCTACACCAGTGGCTGCAACGCTAGGCGTAGGAACTACAGCAGCGACTGGCCGTGAACCTGCAGAATGTCCAGCAGCCTCTATTGAAGTTGAAGGGGAAGTTGAATCTCCAGAGGAAAACAGAGTAAGGGGCTACACTGTGCCAGAGAGTACAACAGCAAGTGTTCCAGCCAGCACCGCGAACCGTCCGTGCTCTACTACTCTGCCAGAGGTTGAAAAAACGACGAATCCAGGGACCACTACGTCAGTAACGGCATCCAATGAAGTGCAGACAACAGCATCTGAGCAAGCAGCAACAGAAAGCAGCACAGCAGAAACAATGCATTCTGAGGCATCTGCAGTCACTTTGAGACACCTGAATGAACAACTTGAACAAACAGTGGAAATCTTTGCTGCGCCGAGCGACCAGGTAGGATAAGCAACAAGCAGCGTTTGGCGCAACCAAAACTAAACCACACCCTGTCTGTCCCTTAACAGGAGCACACTATCAAGCATTTAATCTTCCAAAGCACCGGCCTAAAGAGAACGATTTGGCGCATACTCTTCCAGCTGAGCCAAGAGGAGTTCCGCACCTACACAAGAATCCACAAAGGCGAGGCTTTCTATGAAAACGAAGGCCTGCTACAGCGATGTCATCAGCTGGTTGTGGACCAAGGCTATTGGCCACTTAATTTGTATGTGAAGCTGCCCATGTTGCGCCGACTGTTGCACAGCAAAGGAGTGGAAATGCAGTCGCTGGATCTGCTGCAGCTGTCGCCAAAGATCTTACATTGGAGCGATCTAATGCTGCTCACCGATTTCGATGAAATTGTTGAGCAGCATTACGCGGATCGCACCGGCAAGCAGATCGACGATGCGGAATTGCTGTTCCAGGAACGTGAGCAGCTTTATGCGAGCTGCTGGACGCATGATCAATGGATACGCCAAGTGCCGAAGATCACGAATGAAGCATTAAATGAGCCAATCTTTGGTGACGCATCTGCTGTTGCAGGTGTAGTATTAAGTAGGTGTTTTACATTTGATTAGTGGATATATTCTAAATGTGCATTGTATTGTCAGAGCTACTCTGTGGAGTGGAGGAAAGCCAGACCTCGGCGATAACTATTGAGTCAGACAACGCCAGACCCAAACCATCTGGTAAGTTGTTTGCCTGGTTGCGCTTGTCCACTTACGCAGCCTTTACGCAGTCTACTCTGCTTGTAATTACAGAAGTATCCATTTGCCCGCACACTGAGCTCAACGCTCAATCTACCAACTTTGTGGACATGGACGAAGTGGGTCCCGCTTCACAAATGCCAGACACAGAGAATGATCCGCTTAGGGAGAGCATGCAGGTTCCGGTCAAGCAGGAGGCAATTAAGTTCCTCGACAAGTTGCGCGGCAGCTGTGTCAACAGCCAAGACTTCCTGTGGGAGAGCATTGATTCAAACGAACAAATTATTAACTTGGATGACAGTCAGGAGTCACTTTCGGGCCTAGCTTGCTTTGCCATCCGCAAAGCGACAGAAATTGCGCCATCGAATGCAAATGCAGTTCCACAGTTTCCAGAAAGTGAAAACCCTAAAATATCCACGGAGTCAGAAATTATAGAGTCTCAGCCTGAGGCAGAGCCGCAGCTGAATGTGATGCAGAAGGAGGCGCTGGTGCCGCCTCTAAACGAGCCCATAAAACGCAAAGATAAAACGTCTGCCTCAAACGATGTGGGCAAGAAGCCGCGTCTGATGAACGAGAAGGTGCCGCAGTTGCGACACGAGTTCCGCGCCCTTCCGCTCCACGCCGTGGTATGCTTGGAATCGACAGACTTTGTTCCCGGTCTAGAGGACGAGCAACCAACCACTTCCTTGGAAGTCGCTTCTGCCAAGGAAAAGGAGCCTACAATCACCGCTTCGCAGGATTTTGCTTTAGGCAACACCCTTCTAGCATCCTCCCAGCTGGACGCCCTATTGGATGCTCAAAACGTTACGCTGCGCAAGGTAAATGAAAACGCTATCACTGTAACAGGTAGTGACAAGATTCGTGACCAGGGGCCCCCGCCTGTGCTGCAGATTTGCAGTATCTTTCGAGACGTGGAGCGCTACCGATTCTTCAGAGCACTGACAACAGAACAGATAATCAAGCACAGGATCGATGGATATATCGTGGGCAGTTCCTATCATGATGCGTTGATCAAGATAAACGGCAAGTTGTGCAACGTGCGGGGTGCCCTGATGGAAACCCTATTTCCCCATGTGTCGGCCCGACTGCGATCTGATTTGAAGGACATCCTCTGTGATCTGGGGGAATACATCTACAACAGTCGCTGGCACGCGTACAATGATTCCCTCCAGGACCTTCGAGCTCGTGTGCTGTCCATGTTTATGGACGTGGCCCCCAAGTTTGCATTCTTCCGCGCCGAGTTCGACAATGCGACTCGAGAATGGGCCACTTGCAGCACGATCGATTGGTGGGACCCGGGAGTCGTTGGGCCACGGCCCAGAGGCGACGTCGGGACGGTGCTCAAGCCAGGGGTACTCGGTCGCATGAAAGAATTAAAGGCGCAATTGCGTTGAATTTTTGTTTTGTTAATAAAGAGTGTTTTCCGTTATCCCACAACCTAACAAATTTTGTTTGCATATTTTCAGAAACCCTAATGCCATTACAAGTTTTTTATTTTATGCATCGGTTGGCGCAGGACGAGAGACAGTATGAATATAAGGCCATCAAAGCACTTCACGCTCTGCCGGTTGAAAAGAAGCTGCATTGCCAGGAGTTAGGAATCGTGTGCCGAAGTATGACTCTTCTGGCGCGAACAGGGCAACCCTCTATTTAGATCCTCTTCAAAGGAGCTTGGAATGCTAAATCAGTCAATGATCAAGAGAAGACCGATCCCATTCATGAAATGTAATTGAATACACATTCCTGCGGTGTGATCCGTTTTTATCAATTTGCATTATTTCACAGAGTCTGGCAGCAGTGGGGGCTACATGATTGCCAAGGAAGCTATATCACAGAAAAAAACCATTTTCAGGGAGCAGGCAACCATTTTCCATGGCATGCTAGTGGCCCAAGACATCAGTCCCGAGGATTTTGCTAGTCTGGATTAGGACACACAAAAAAAGATTGTGAGGATACTAGTTAATGTTAGGTATGCGTGTGAATATGTCGATACTACTTTTACAATTCTCGATTGTATTATTTTGTTTATTGTTTTAGTTAATATTTAATTACCCATGAATCGCCATTATCCAACTAGTTCCGAATAAACAATTTTTTTTTATTTCTAAATTTGTGTGAATGTGTGGACACATGGAAAGTATATGATCGTGTATATGAAATCATATATATAGATATATGATATTTAATAAGGCAAAATAATTCCCCAGGTACTCCACCTACCTCTAATCCCTATTTAATCTCCAATGCGAATAGCTAAATTTACCAATGCTAACTAAACTGATTGACTCCACTAAAAAGCTAGTACCTGACTGATTAATCTTAAATACATTTAATGACAACAGGCCAATAAATAAATAAATAAATACGCGAATAATTACCTCAATGATTGAATAAATAAATCGGTTAATTTATATAAAATAATTGATTTATTTAAATGGATTAATTGAAATAACTAAATAAACACCTATATCAAAAATTAATCTCCTAAGTAAACACAACACTCTGTTAATAAATAAATTAATAAATACATAAATAAATATTTAATAAACGTGTACAAAGAGGGCATAAACTGAGAAGTTTATTTTTTATTTAATAATCCGGCATTACAAGCGGACGAGTGCCATATAAGGGTTAATTTAAAAAAGGCAGTGTGACCGTTGTAAAATAACAGCTGCTTAAGGGTCACGAACTAGTTCCGTGCAAGCCGCAAAGAAGCGTGAGAAATAAAAAGTGCAAACAAAATAATAAAGACGGTATGTTTCGGTATATTTCTGAGGGTCGGACCGCATAATTTGTAACGATAAATCCGCGGTCACACTGGTGAGAGATAAAAATAAAAACAAAATAAAAACACATTCGGCGTTTTGTTTAAATACCTTTAAATAAATATGAAATAGCAATGTAATAGTAAATGTATGTCAGTCGGTTACTCGTGGAAAAGGGGTATTTGCACACAGCTAACCGGTAGGCTGACTTATCTGCCCCCGTCGTTGTGCTCGCCTTATCAAACAGACATTATTCATTGTGCGCTTAAATAGAATCCCCCATAGTGTACATATGTATGTACACGGTAAATACATATTTGTACATACATCTGTGTTTGCCATAACAAAAATTGCATATTCAAATATTTCCGTCCCTGCAGTGCGTCGAATTGATTGCGTGAAAATTGAAGCCAAACAACGGCAGCGCCGCACCAGTTGCTTCTCCGATTCTAAGTTGATATGCCCTCCGGGTCCCGCTTGCGCCTATCATACCGACGGACAGAGTTCGCTGGGCCAGGTCTTTTGAATTCTTGTGAGTAAAATTTATTTCGTAAAGTTAGGCATTGGTTTATTTGTAGGTACTAGCATCATAGCATAACCTTTGATCTTGAAATCAATCCCTATCGGCATCCCGGTAAATACAGTTCCGTGAGTAGGGACGCACACTGTATTTATGATTCATTATTATCAATCGTTCTAAGAATACCCCCTAAAAATAGTCTGAAACGTAAAAAGAATTGATAAAGAATTGTTAAATCTCGACAGTTCTCTCTAAAAGTGGCGATAAGATTGTTTCAACTGTTCCCCCCAAACACCTGGATACGATTCTTCTGCAGTGTCTCCCCCTATTGTTTACCTTCGATAAAAAAAAAGAAGAAAAATAAAAAATGTAAACTCTGGCCCATGAGGGGATCGAACCCGCGACCTTCGCGTTATTAGCACGACGCTCTAACCAACTGAGCTAATGGGCCACGGCGACTCGGTCCGCCAAAAGGCAATTTGATGGGAGCTGCAGAGTAAAGTGTATTTCTAGAGCCCACTTGCATATGCATATCATTCCATATACTACTCCAAAGAAAAGAACGATTTATTTAATTTTAGGGGGTTTCCCCTTTGTATTACTCTCCAATTTATCTCCGAGTGCTTCCAGATTAACATATGCATGTATTTCTGTCATACACTAGTATATGTAAGAGTATACGTATGGCACTTCATGGTCCACTTTTACTTCGGCCAAAAGCCGAAGCGGTTCGTGGGGCGACGCAGTCGTTGGAGGCAACTTTGTGCCTTCGCCCGTGGAGGATCCGCAGTTGCTTTTTGACTTCAGTGCGGCTTGGTCCTGTTTCCGCTTTGTCGCCGCAGACAAGACCCAACACTTTTCCGTTTCCGTGAGAATTTTGTTGAAAGCTGCGGAAGTCGTGGCCCATCCACATCCATACCTGAACTAAAGCATGCGAGGAGTGTAATTGGAGAGGACTAAACGCTTTATTTATGGCTGCAGTTGACCATTTTGTAGGGCTAGTGCCGCTAACAAGAAGTTCAATAATCTGAAGGTTCTCCCCCTGACGTGTTTTTTAATTATTTAGACTGCCACTCGCAACGGGGTCGCGACAGATTTATTAGAGCTTTCGTTGCAACTGCTTAAGCGCGTGTGTACATATATCTGTCCAGAAAAGGGACCAACAAGGCAATAGCTCCGATGTTTAAGCTAAGTAGCAGTCCCTTGGCTTTTGAGTTTTAAGGCAGCGGCACTCAAAAATTGATATTTTGTGTGTCCCCCGCTCCAATGGTCTGTCTCCTAATGCATGTGCGTGACAAGGAAACGCTTTTAAATGCCACAAATGCAATGAATTTTTGATGCTTCCTAACAGTTGAAAGTATTTCGACTACTTGCCAGCCATTTCGGCATACGAGGCGACGTTTGGGCTCCCCCTAAAAATTACCCATTGCCGGATTGCCGGATTGCTGGATGGCAGGGCAGCAGTTGTTTTGGTTCTCAACACCTGTCTGAGTCAAGGTTGGACGGGGAGCCGAGTCGGTAGGCAATTGTCTAAGGATTTTGATTTGTATTTGGATATGAAAGCGGAACATCCCACCCGGACTGGGACCCACCGCGGCGCAGCAAGGGTTTGAGCGATTCGCCTTACATAAGCAAGCGATGTAAAAATCGAGTCCCGGGAGACTGCGGAGCAAAGTGCCTTTATTGATGGATCCAAACACAATCCGAGTGCCTATCAGTACACGGACTGAGCCTTAAACCAGTGCCTTTGGAATTATACGGAACAAGCAACCAAATACATACACAACTGAGATGTCGGGGAGGAGCTATCAGCGCCAGAGCCTGGAACTGCGTAGTCCTGACAACAGCTCGCTGGACGATGTAGCGGACAGCCGTTTTCGGAATATGCTCGGCTCCAGCGCCAGCGCCAGCCAGAGACGTCGCCAGCAGCGGGTGGCCCAGCACCGCCAGGAGTCGTGGTTCCGTCACTCCATGCCGCCGGCCGTCAACCGAGACTTCGAGTCCCTGGAGCATCTGACGCCCAAGACCAGCTGCGGCCTGGACGAGCAGTTGGCCGCCTCCGTCTCGAGCAGCGTCCACAGCGGTGGGAGCTCCACGCTCTGCGGCAGTCGTGGCGGGAATACGAATACGGACCACTTCAGCATCCATCTGAACAGTGCCAACAGCAACCTGGGATTCATAGACTCCGACACCCCCAACACGCCGATCACTCCTCCCAGATCGACCTCGACCTCCCTCTGCGGTGGCCTGCAGCCGCACGCATCCGTCTCCACCTCTGTAGCCGGCACGCTCTCATCTCGCCAAGGCGCCGCCGGGCTACCGCAGAGCTCCCATAGCAGTCGTAAGGACTCCAAGGGGTCCATCCTCTCCAGACAGAGCCTGGCTCAGCGTGGCCTGCGAATGACAACCTCATTTCTACGCAGGAAACGGAAGGAGTACGAAGGTGAGTAGGGTAACTGGTCTTTTATTCTGCCTCATGCCCCGTCCAAGATGTGGCAATAAGCATCCCATTTTGTCGCGACATTCGATGGATCAATACAGACGACGCCCTGAAGTCTGGCCTTTGGTGGGGTGTTGTTGTCGTGCGGGAGTCCGGATAGAGTCTCTGCCAGAAAACCAGAGGAGGAGAGGCCTCTAAAAATTTAAGTATTTAAACATGTTTTCCGTCTACAGCTCTCCACTTATTTTTAAGACCCTCCCTCCCTACCAGAAAGCGCAGTCCCCCGCTTCTGGGCAGACTGACCTAGATTCCTTTTATACTACCGCAGAAATCACGCCACCCTACCCCACCCCACCCCACAGGATCCACACATCCTGTCGCATGTTTGGCCATTTGTGTGTGTGCAGGATGGTCAGGGGGCATGGCATGCATCGTGACAGAGGCAGAAGTCGTTTGGTGAACAGTTAAATGAGCGAAAAAGTCATGCGAGTTGCATTTAAGAAGAGATTTTATTCTACTATACTGTCTTTTGGGCTGCCAGCAGCCATTCCCTGAGGGCTGCCACATCGGCAAAGACTCCCGGATAGTTGGCAAGGGCGCACTGGCGGCCCCAGGATACAACGCCAACGAGGACGCCGCCAGAGACCAAGGGGCCGCCGGAATCACCTTGGCAGGCATCCTTGTTGGCTGCTGCCGCACAAATCATGGTCTCCCGGATGGTGCCTCCGTATCCGTACGTGGAGCTGCCGCACTCTGCCCGGCCGACAATGCGCGTGTCGATGTACAGCAGCTGGGAGGAGCTGGATCCCGAATACGAGGTCGATCCCCAGCCGGAGATGCTCGCCGCTGCTCCATGGACGGGCGCGGAGGCGGCCAGCGCGATGGTCTTGATCGTTGAGCTCAATGTGAGCTTGTTCTTCAGGCGAATCACTCCGATGTCGTTCATCCTCGAGCTGGCGTTGTATTCCTCGTGCACCTGGAAGGCGGCCACCTGGACGAGGGACCCGCCCAGGTTCTTGTAGCTGGTGCCGGCTCGCACCTTGAGGACGGAGGCCGTGACCGGGGACAGCAGGCAGTGGGCGGCGGTCACGATGATGGTGTTGCTAAGGATGGATCCGCCGCAGTAGTGGGAGCCCGACCGCTGCAGCGATACCTGCCAGGGATGGTCTGCAATGGTGGTCTTCGTTCCGCCCACGATCCTGCCGCTGAGCGGGGCCTGTGGCTCCAGGCCCGAGGGCAGCGCAGCCCCATATGAGGAGGCCAGTAGGGCTAGAAGGGTGGCGATTGGGAGGAACATTTCTCTGGAACTCTCTCTAGCTTTCGGTGGCTAAGTGACGGCCGAAGCGGGCCTTATATAGTAGTAGGTGCCCAGAGATTACGGCTATGGCCCAGGCATGTGGCTTTATGAGCAGGAGGCCATATATCAAACCCAATACGACCGCAAATAACTGATTGCGGTGCTAACCCCCTCTTCTAACTTGCAGGTGATTGCTGCCATCAGTTAGCAATTGTCTCCTGTCTCTTCCCCATGGGTGCTTTAAATTTCTAAATGACTATTGATTTCCCGGTTTGGGAGCCGTGCATCGGAAGGCGGAGAGAGTGTGTGCCTGTTTGACGTAGGTCAGTGGCCCTGGGACCAGTGCAGTGTCCTTATCAGCTGGCTGTGCTTATGCGCCTTAAAAGGGCCATAATGCTCCCACTTAGCCCACGGATTGATTGGGCCTTACCAATTGTAAATATTTCGCTGCCGATAGAAGGCCAGAAGGAGGCCCAAACAGCCAAGTCGTTGTAAATTGTCTTTGTTTCCCCCCTCCAAAAATATTTATTTGCAGAAAGCACAAACCACCTGCGTGCTTGGTAATACCCAAAACATTTTGATACAATGCCGAATAGCGGCTTTAAGTACAAATATATTTGAGCCATTTTAGATGAAATATATAGAATATTGTGTGTATCGCTATACCCTGGCCTGTCCATAATAAAGTGCAAAATATGGGGCACAGAGACACGTTTGTTTTCCAATTAGGTTAAAAGTGTCACGTCGCCAATTTCCAACATCCGTTACCGTTTCCGCATCCGCATCCGCTTCTTTCTGTTTGATTTTCCGAGTGTCGTAAATGGCCCTGGGAGAAGTTATAAATTGCCCTCGCTGAGGCGCCGCTTTGGTATCTCCACCCCACTCAGTTGCTACACAAAATACATACACGAGTGTGAACATAATCCACAATTACTATTAGATCTGATAATGGAACCACTACGCGCTTACCAAGTTCTCGTCCGGGAGCAAGCTCGTCTTTTCCAGCTGCATCTTCATGTTATCTGAGTAGGTGTAGTACTCAACGACGCGCTTGAAAGTGACGTGCTTCTTTGGCTTCTTGGTCGACATCCCGTCCCCGCTAGAGCCAGCATCCCTCAGGATTAGAATGGGCTTGAGTAAATTTTTCGGCGTCTCTAGGTCAGTCATAATAATTTCTAGCAAAATATGATACTTATTTTAAATGTAGACAGTAGAGAATTTCCAATAGAAATATTCAAAATGAATGCTTTGCCATGGGTATGTTTATCACATATCGAAAGTTATTACATTCTGACAAAAGAAGCAAAAAATATTTGTCAGAAGTGGGATTCGAACCCACGCCCTCAGAGAGGACCAGAACGCTCAACACTTTCGTTCAGAAAGCAAGATTTCAATACCTTGAGTCTGGCGCCTTAGACCGCTCGGCCATCCTGACACTTGGATTGGTCATTGCTAAAAAAGCTCCGTTGAATAATAATAAATATTCTCATGAAACTTCATTCATTTCAGTGTGTTCTGCGAAAGTGCTGGCATTTTCGTTGAAAATCAGAACGCCCATAAATTCCAATATCAATAAAATTTCTTTTCACATAGAACAGCCCATTCCTAAACCATAAATTTTATAACCGAGCACTTAGAACTAATTTCCCCGATAAGATCCCGCAATAAACCGTTTAAATAGATTGAAAACTGACATTAAGATATGCCATACGTTTATACAATATGGCAATATGTCTGCTTGCCCCGAGGTTGGGTAATTCAATCATCCTTGATGGCAAATTGAATTGACATTTCACTTGGCTGTCTTGCAAGGAATTGACACGTGAGATCATCCATCGCTGTCTCCCATGACATCATCGCTGCGGTTGGGTTGGTTGCCCATTACATGGTATCCCTATGTGCACGGCATGAGATAACATAATTGCGCACAACCTCTAACGGGCTTAGCTTATCTGGCTCCGTATTAATCGCATCCAGGCAAACGGTCGTACCTTATACCGTATACACAACTTTTTAATTCCTAGAGTGCTGTGAAAAATAGATTTAAAAAAAAAGAAAAAAGTAGTTTCTGGCCCATGAGGGGATCGAACCCGCGACCTTCGCGTTATTAGCACGACGCTCTAACCAGCTGAGCTAATGGGCCACATGTCTCTTGCTCGCCAAAAGTTGATTCAGAGCCTGAGGCGAATTCGACACTAAAGTGGACTGCTTGCTCAGTAAATTCTGTAGCACGAAACTTTCTCAGAGCGAGAACTGTTCGATGGTATTTTCTGTTATACAACATTTAACGTTGCTGGCACAAATACGGTTTGTGACACGGAATTAGCATGTGTCAGGATGGCCGAGCGGTCTAAGGCGCCAGACTCAAGGTGTTTGAAATCTTGCTTTCTGAACGAAAGTGTTGAGCGTTCTGGTCCTCTCTGAGGGCGTGGGTTCGAATCCCACTTCTGACAAACCTTTTTTGCTGTTGTTTTTTTTTACATTCCATAAATTAATAGATTAAATTATTTTTGTCTGTGGCATTATTAAGTATTTGAGCAGTGGAAATTTATCAACGTTATGAACTAGCTATTGTGCTAAGATTGTGATTTTAATTAACCCGAATCAGTCCAACAAGGCCCATTAGCTCAGCTGGTTAGAGCGTCGTGCTAATAACGCGAAGGCCGCGGGTTCGATCCCCCCATGGGCCATGATGACTTTTTTTACTTTTTCTCTTTGCATAATATTTTAATGGGTGTTGATGGAAAATGATGATAATATTTCGGCCTGGGCTTGGTCTGTCCCGTCATTCTCATCATTTGTCAGTCCACTTTTCATTGCTTGACAGCAAAACAGTCTGTTTGTCTGCTTTAGATGTCTGATAAAAAAGCTTTTTTGTTTAGACTAATTACTAATTGTACCTATGTCGGCGGTACACATTGTACATGCCCGCGTATGTAAATCAGTGACCACTAGCAATGAAATGAAACAATTTCGCGTAGAGTAAAATTGATTTCTACTCTTTGCGGTCTGGCAACTCTGTCACGCCAACCGGTAAGAGCTTACTTTTGCCAGTCGAACCTTGTATACCCTCGAAGTTCGACGACCAATAAAATACCCGGCTTCAACTAATAACTCTATCTATCTATCGGCATTTCCATAAAAAATTGTCCACCATACCAAACAAATATTAAAATGCAATAAAAAGAAATAATATTTTCAAAATGTATTGAATGTTAACTAGTTTAGGCCATTGACATAAACGTGCAATAATTTTCCCTTTAAAAAAAGATTAATATTGATAAAAGTTTTTTCTCAATGAATCAAAAAATCGCATAAAATAGTAACATCACGTCGTATTTTGATTTATATACTTAAATCCAAAATTGTATTCAAACTGGAAGCTTTTCACTATTTTTGTTCAAATTTTGTCGTACGCCGGAATGGAAATGCCCATATATGATTATCTATTTATCGTAGAGATGCCGGTAAAACTGAGAGCATAGTTAAGATTATACACATGATAATATACTCGAATTAAGTATTATTTGTGTTACAAACATATGCCCAATTATATAATACCCTCTTTTAGGGTACACAAATCGCCTCTCTCCCACACGCAAACACTTGATGCCCAGTGCGACATTTGCTCAGTTGCTTTCGGAGCTCCAAGAAAAACGTTTGTGCGCCAGGTGGGACGGGACTTGTGTATGAGACCGGTTAACGAGGTCGACGTGTTAAATAAACGCGAGATAAAATTGTAAGCCAAGTAAATAAACTGGATGCCAATTCTACATTTAACTTGGTTTTCGGGGTGATCACAGTGCGTATCGTTCGTCTGGCCTGGTATCAGATGCCCGAGAATGGCTGGATATTAGATATTAGGGAGTGTATGGAATGGAAAATACTCGTGCAGAGAAAACAACACCTAAATAAAGGTCATTTGTAATTATATTTGATTGGACGTTTGTTGAATGGACATGGAAACAAGAAATAGCATTCTATGTATATGAGTAGAGTGCTCCGTGAATTTATGGTGGGATTTTCATACGCCGCGCGGGCCCAAACGAAGAGAAACAGCTGTGCCAGAGCATACAATTTGTAGAATCCATGGAATTGTCAAGCAACTCGGCTCTCCCTCTCTCTCTCTCTCTCTCTCTCTCTCTCTATCTCTTTCTTTCTGTGTACCCCTCTCATATGAGTGCCAATTCACATAGAAAGTGGTTTTTAATTCGCTTTCAAGCCGTTATTCACTCTCGAAATCCTCTCTCGCCGTCTGCCAATGTTGTAATTGTTGTAACTGCTGCATGATCGCTCTCTTTGGCAATCGGAGCCACTCCTATGCTCTTGAACAGGTGGAACGAACTTGAGATACCCCTTTCCCCGAGGGAGTTGACTGTTCACAGATGATGCCGACTCGAAAGATGAACTCTCACATCACCTTTTCGTGAGTCAGTCGTGTGGTTCGTCATCGTTATAATGTGGCATTTCAAAAAAGTTAATACAGAGCTGATTTTCGCTGATCGGATGCCAAAACTGTGCCGCACTGCCACCGCATATACATATGTAGAATGTTGTTTCTTTTAATAATTTTCGTCACTTTTGCTTTCATTTGCCAAATGCAAATTAATAAATATAGAGCGAAAGAAACATCACACATTCATTGTTTGCTAACTCGAATGTGGGATTCGAAAAATTAGTCACACAACTATTGACATTCCACTCCCACTTACATAAGAACAAACAGTACTTATATTTTACTATGACTGCACTGTGGGAATATGTACAGTAACTCTCCTCGGCGGACAAAGAGTTCCCCTGTACATACATATGTACACATGGAAATCCATGGGGAGGAATGCTCCATGGGGGGCCTAACAAACTATTTATTCCGCCGCTTAGTGGTGACATCGAAATGTGTATTCCCCCGCTAATGTTGGTCGATTGCCAATAATTTCTATCGATTTGATTTCACAATTGTCTGTGGACGTCTTTGTTGAACTGTCGCAGTTCTGACTTCACCGAATCGGTGACATAGACGCGTATTCTCTCTGTATCTTTAGGTGCGACGGATGTGTGTGTTTACCTTTGTTATTGCCCCCCGACGCCATCGGATAATAAATACGATTCATTCTAGTATTCGTATGAACTGCTTCTGTTGTTGTCATGTTTTACTTGGAGGGGTATACGTACGTACGTGTACGTCGTTTGCTTGATGTGGCTGAGGGGTAATTATCACCTGTTTGCATTCGGCTCGACTGAGTATTTTCTTGCGAGTTAGCAACCGATGCCCCATACAAAAGTCCGTGTGCACTCGTTGGAGCGACCTTTTCCAGTTGAGAAGTAGTTAGAAGTCCCAGATTTGGTTCTACTAGTACATATGTACATGTATGTATATGAAATCCACAAATAAGTAAATACGATTGGAATGAATCCAAAATACTTATTCCTGTGTTTGATGCTGGTATTTTTAGAGCGCGTCGTAGCTGGGGGAATAAATTTGAATAGCGTCGTGAATATGCAAACACACATACAATGAATGTACATATATACATACATACATATGTACATTTGTGGGCCCACACAATACAGATCCATGCGCCTATCTGCCCGAACGATGGACCGACTATTTACGTCGGACTCCGTACAAAACAGACAAATTTTCGCTGAGGAGCATCCATTAGGGGGAAACTTTGCTAATAAATATTTATGGCCAATTTCCCGTTAACCACTGAGACCTAGTATGCAATTACCCGCCTGGGCATAGCCATAGCTGAGCAGCCCAGCCCCAGGTGGACATATCAAGGACCCCCGCACAGTGTTTGTGGGTGCCTGGGGGAGAGCATGACCGGACACTTGTAAGAAACTGAAACAATCGATAAGCTACTCACTCACATTGGCATTTGCCAACTCAAGTGTATTCCATTTGCCAAAGGAATCCAATCGGATCGAAGCTAATGGCAATGGCTCTGCACGGCTCTCCTGGTGACCATTTCAAAGCCTTTTGAGTGTCACGTTTCGGCTCATACGTGAGTATGTTTCGGGCAACGAGTAATGGCCACACAGTTATTGCCGGAAAACACGTAAGGTAACACAGTGCACGCAAATAGAATTTCTTTCGTTCCTGTCTATCGGTCGGAACGGAACGGAGCAGACAAACCGAGAAAGTTTCGTTGACTTCCGCTTTCGCAGACGAGGTCGATGTTCCCTAGTCAGTCCCTCAAACCATAGTACGAGTGGTTAATTATTTTCATGGATCTATCTAGCGTGTTTATCATCCAGGAGTTTGACCAGTTGTCGCCTTTAATTATTTCCACATTTCGGGCGTACAGGGCGTTTCGGTTGGGGTCGATATATTGTAGCCAAAGTGGACCGCGGAGTGGAGCGTTCACTGTACAGGAAAATGTGGCACTTAGCTCTGTGTGAAATGTAGGCAATGTCCTGCCAATGTCGCGCACTTGGAGACCGAGTTGTTTACCATTCTAGATGGCTAGCGATAATGGAGTTGGGTTGTGTGCTTGCTCTCAATAGTACTATACACTCGGCAATAGAATGGAAAAGCCATGCTCTGGCCAGCAAATCAATACCGTAAAGGCAGTAATCAGCGCAGCAACCTTTGAAAATCAAATATATCAAATATACACACAGTTAATATCTGAACCAATCATAAAAGTAAAACCGAAAGTGCAGTGAAACCTACGAAAACTAATGAAATAAATTCACATCGCATTAGATCCGAACAGTGTACTTAATGGGTGTTCCACAACCATGTTAACATGGCAGATCGCAGAAAGAATGAGAGCGACAGCATCGCTAGGACACGGAGCAGCAGCTCATCACAGGACGGAGGAGTCGGCCATAATGGCAACGGACAGAGCCGGGGACAGCAGCAACAGCATCAGCCGCAGCTGCAGCAACAGCAAGAGGCCGCTGGGAGCAGGACTCATCCGGATGCGACCCCCGCCCAAGCCAGCGTCGATTTGTGGAGCCTGCCGGAGCGGGTGCAGAGTTGGATTGCCAGCAGCGTGCGCTGGCTGAGGGGGGAGGCGATGCGGAGGACAGCATCCACGGGACCATCGAACATGGGAATCTCCACCGAGGGAGGCGACAGACCGCCCCCTGGTGGGGAGGACGGCGGAAGGCCTCCTGCGGACCATGAACCGTCCACAGATGGAAACACCCCAACGACCTCGCCGTCGCGGATAGGCGAGAACCCGAGTGTGGTCGATCGCTCGGAGACCGATGCCAGCATCAATCACAGCCGCCTGACTGCCTCGTTCCGGGTGAGGAACAAGTTCACCACCTACCTATTGGACAAAACCGGCATAAGAAGGAACTTACGTAAAGGTGCTTTTCATTTACTTATATCATATACAGACATCTAAATCTTAATTCCTCTCCTTCGGGCACAAATATGTATGCATACGGGTACGGGTACGGGTACATTTACGAGGCTTTGGAATAACGAGTCCTAAGGTTTCTTTTATTTGTTTGGATTCTTTTATGGGATATTCCTGAGCAACTCTGGCGGAAGGAAGGAAGGCTGTTTCCGTCCGTAGAAGCACAGAATTGTTGCCCCTTTTGTTTTCCGTATGCAGGACAGCTTTTGAGGACAGTTTAAAAAATGTACCCAAATTCTTTAGTAAACAAAGGTAGTAAGAATAGATGCAAAATAGAATCCGAATGGCTGGAGATTAATATTGGTGTCATAAATAATGAGTAATATGAAGTATATAGCCCCAAATTCAAAATCTATCTACATAACAATTTTGTTTCCAGAACACTCGAATTTCGTTGAATTTTTAGTTTTGCTAGCGAATATATCTTTACTACGATTGTTTTTCTATTCTCGTAGCTCGAATGCTCATGCGTTTTCGATCTCCCTGTAATGAATTTTTTAAAATTATTCTCATTGTGGTTTCCTACCAACCAAAATGTATTTGGGGAAGTCCCGAAATCTAAAATAACGCTAACAATCGATAAACATAATGTCAGTCACCCACTAAATATTTTTGCATCAGTTCTCTACCTCAGAGGTGGAGGCTGATAGCAAGCAAAATTTCGAAGCGTATCAGAGAGGAGGCATAACAATTCGATGTAGCATTGGCAACCTTAGAGTTTGAGGAAAGTGTAGGATAGTGAGGCAGTCCCTAAACATCCTTAAAGTTTTTGTAAAAACTTATTTCTTTTTACGGATTCTATATAACAAATTTTCGGTATAGCGACCTTTTTTGGTCCCCTTGAGATGCGTTATATGGAAGTTCGTCTGTATATAGAGTATCCCTTGGTCGAGACACTTTATTCCCATACGTTGTCTTCTTTATTCATTTATTTTCTTTTGTTGCTGTTGCAGCTTAAAGCTTTCGATTAACAGCGCCGGCGCTCTCTCTTTCCCTCCCTCTTGGATTCTCTCGTTTTGTTTTGCTAAGAGTATTCGCTTTCGCTTTTGTATTTGCATCTGCACCTCTCCATCCCTTCTCGGACTGCCAGTCCCACCGTTAACTGCACACGCATGGCGCATCTTCGGGCGTATCCGTTCCGAGTGTTCGGGGGGTGTGTTTTGGGGGTGGTGTGGGGGGTGGCTTCCTGGCACAATAACCTGAAGCCGAAGCGAGCTCCTCCTCTCCTCGTCACCCCTTTTACGAGTATCGTTGTCCTTTTGCAGCCCTGCCCCAACGGCACACATTCCGTCGTGGAATTTCAGTCGCAGGAGAGAAGCACATCGGAAAAGTTCTCAGAAAAATACTGCTCGTGGATTTCATTCGCGCATCTGTGTTTTTGTTTGTCTGTGTGTATTAACAGGATAACAGTTTAAGTGTAACTGTGCTTTTTTTCGAAACCACCGCTCCAGAAACCTCAACTTCCACTGAATCAGACTCTAGGAACATAGCTCCAATAAAGCCAAGCCGATAATAATCCGATAATGCTCGGCCATCACGTGCTCTATCTCATCCGAGGTGTGACAAATCGATACCGTTAGACGGTGCCCATAACACGTTACGCACCTTGTTGCCAGGCGATGGTAGTGGGCCAACAACAGTACTGTGCTCTATGCTCGCGGCAGCTAGGAACTCCGAAGAACCCAAAAGTGAAGAGCAATAGAATCGAATCGAACCGAATCGCCTGCACCAGAAGCGGAATCCAGTTGATTTTAAATAAAAACACGAATTCGAATGCAAAGTGACCGAGCGGAGCGCAGGCGTCAGATTTTCTTGTAGCGCGAACGTTTACGCCCACTTGTGGCACAGCATCTCTCTGGCCAGGGGAGTAGTAGAGACCTGTCATCCTGTTTTTCTCCAAACGCCAAAACGAGTCTCCCGGCGAGAGCATCGCCTTCGTGCCCGTCGGTGAGTGCGATTCGGGATCCGAAGAACTGCACGCGGCCGAGGTGGAGGAAGAAGAGACGCTGGAGTCGAGTGGCACCAACGCTGGCGCATCTGCGTTTGCGGATCGGCCCCGGCAAGCATCTGCCCAACACCAGCAACAGCACCAGCACCGGCACCAACGCCGTTGGTACAGAATGGCCCTCCGGAATGTCTACAAGGCGCTGCGCATGCGCTGGAGCCGTAAGTGTCGTATAATCCTAGGAAGCTCTGGAAACTCAATCTTTTCTATACGGGATCTCGAAATTGCTGCTGTTCGAAACGATAGCGCCATGTTTGTGAGCTGCCCTCCGCCGAATCCCGCGAGGCACCTGGTCGAGAGTCTCAGGCAGGCTCGCATTATCCCGGATGCGCTGAACTGCGAGCCGCAGGCAGTCATTCAGGTGCTGTACCCTTGCGACATCGTTGTGGAGCCAGGCATCACCATTTCAGTCGATGAGGCGGTCAAAGAGCCTATCATTCGATGGAAATCGGATGCGAGCAAGCTCTACACCTTTGTGATGATCGACCTGGACATGCCAAAGGCCAAGGGCCATTACCTGCTCTGGCTGGTGGGCAACATCCCCGGATGCGATGTGGTGCGGGGGGAGAAGATTGTGGCCTACATGGACAAGCGCTCGTCGGAGGGCAAGGAACTCCATCGCAGTCTCTTCCTGGCCTACCGGCAGTACCTCGAGTTGGACTTCGCCGAGCCGTACCTGACGGCCGCCGACACGGAGGGACGTGCCCATTTCGATGTGAATGGGTTCGCGAAGAAGTACGCCTTGGGTAGTCCCATTGCCGCGAATTTCTTTGTGGCCAAGTGGGAATGGGCTTGGAATTGGACTGCCGATTAATTTTGTTTAAAAAATAAACCAATGAGCAATTTAGAAATAGATATTAAAGTTTTTATAAAATACTTATTCCTCGAATATTTGCCGCCTGCTTTCAGATGATGAGGACATCACCTCGTCCGCCGGCTACGATGCAGAGGATGGAGAGCGGCGTGTCATAATCCTGAATGGCGCCCAGCCCGTAAAGTACTGCAACAATCGTATATCGACGGCCAAGTACAAGTAAGCATTCTGCTATCAATTAATGAGATTGACTAGATACGATACTAACTGATTGATTTGTATCTGTTTCATCTGCAGCATCATCAGCTTTCTGCCCTCGTTCCTGTTCGAGCAGTTCCGACGGTACTCGAACTGTTTTTTCCTGCTAATCGCTTTGCTGCAGCAAATCCCAGATGTATCGCCCACGGGTCGCTACACCACTCTGGTGCCCCTGATGTTCATCCTGTCTGTCAGCGCCGTCAAGGAGATAATCGAAGATGTGGTAAGTATTTGTCAGCCGATGGCTTACTTTGCATACAAGGCTCATACGGCTTTTTCCCCCATTTACAGAAGCGCCATCGCGCTGATAATGAGATCAATCATCGACCCATCGAGCGGCTGGAGAACGGCACCTGGTCGACAGTCCGCTGGGCGGAGCTGACCGTGGGGGACATTATAAAAGTGTCGATAAACACATTCTTCCCCGCGGACCTAATTATCTTATCGTCCAGGTAAGCGTGAGCTGCAGCACACACCATTGTGGCCATATGTTGATCCCAGCCCGTCCCACTTTCCAGTGAGCCCCAGGCCATGTGTTTCATTGAGACGGCCAATCTGGATGGGGAGACCAACCTGAAGATACGGCAGGGAGTGACTGCCACTGCGGGACTGCTGGAGACAAAGGACCTCTCAATGCTGCAGGGAAGGATCGAGTGCGAGCTGCCCAATCGGCATCTGTACGAGTTTAACGGGGTGCTAAAGGAATTCGGAAAGCAGTGAGTTGTTCAATCGACTGTGTCACTGTTCCATCTTGATATCTCTATGTGTCCTTTGAAGATCCGTGTCCCTGGGCAACGATCAGGTCCTGCAGCGTGGCGCTATGTTGCGAAACACGGCCTGGGTGTTTGGGGTCGTTGTCTACTCGGGTCAGGAGACGAAGCTCATGAAGAACTCTACCTCAGCACCGCTGAAGCGGTCCACCGTCGACAAGCTAACCAACACCCAGATCCTGATGTTGTTCATGATCCTGATTTCGCTTTGCATCACCAGTGGACTGTGCAATCTGTTCTGGACCCGGGAGCACTCGGAAACGGACTGGTATCTGGGCCTGAGCGACTTCAAGAGCTTGAGCCTCGGCTACAATCTCCTCACCTTCTTCATTCTGTACAACAACCTGATACCCATATCGCTGCAGGTCACCCTCGAGCTGGTGCGCTTCCTGCAGGCCATCTTCATCAACTACGACATCGAGATGTACCACGAGCCCTCGGACACGCCGGCCATGGCCCGCACCTCGAACCTCAACGAGGAGCTGGGCATGGTAAAGTACATATTTTCTGACAAGACGGGCACGCTCACGCAGAATGTGATGGTCTTCAAGAAGTGCTCAATAGCGGGGCATATCTATGCCCCGCAGCGCACTCCGGAGGAGTCGCTGCTGGTTCAGAACATCCTCAGACGGCACGAGTCGGCAGAAGTCATCGAGGAGTTCCTGGTGCTGCTTTCCGTCTGCCACACCGTAATACCTGAGCGAAGCGATGAAAGCATCATCTACCACGCCGCTAGTCCGGACGAACGCGCCCTGGTCGAGGGCGCCCACTTCTTTGGCTACATCTTCGACACCCGCACGCCCGAATACGTGGAGATCAATGCGCTGGGCCAGCGGCGGCGATATCAGGTACTCAATGTTCTGGAGTTCACATCGGCGCGAAAGCGCATGTCGCTGATAGTGCGGACGCCAGAGGGCAAGATCAAGCTCTTCTGCAAGGGCGCCGATTCGGTGATTTACGAACGCCTGTCCGCCCAAGATAGACAGTACCGTGACCGGACGCTGCAGCACCTCGAGGAGTTCGCATCGGAGGGTCTGCGCACGCTTTGTCTGGCCGTGGCCGACATTCAGCCAGATGTGTACGAGGAGTGGCGCAACACCTACCACAAGGCAGCGACGGCGCTGCAGCACCGCGAACGCAAGCTGGAGGACGCGGCGGACTTGATTGAGATCAATCTGCGCCTACTGGGCGCCACGGCCATCGAAGATCGCTTGCAGGACGGCGTGCCGGAGACGATTGCGGCGCTGATGGATGCCGGCATCTATATTTGGGTGCTGACCGGCGACAAGCAAGAAACGGCCATAAATATAGGATACTCCTGCAGGCTGATCTCCCATACCATGGACATACTCATCCTGAACGAGGAAAGCCTCGACGTAAGCCCAAGTGTCACTTGATCAACAAATTAAAACTTATGCAATTGCTTCTCTCTCCTCAGGCAACCCGCGACGTCATCCTTCGACACTTAGGGGAATTTAAGAGCTCGACGGCCAACGACATGAACGTGGCCCTGGTCATCGATGGCACCACACTAAAATACGCCCTGAGCTGTGATCTACGGGGCGATTTTCAGGAGCTCTGCCTACTCTGCCGCGTGGTCATCTGCTGCCGCGTGTCGCCCATGCAGAAGGCGGAGGTGGTCGAGATGGTCACCCAGAGCACCAAGGCGGTGACGCTGGCCATCGGGGACGGTGCCAACGATGTGGCCATGATACAGAAGGCAAACGTTGGCATTGGTATATCCGGCGTTGAGGGGTTGCAAGCGGCCTGCGCCTCGGACTATTCGATTGCCCAATTTCGGTACCTGCAGCGACTGCTGCTCGTGCACGGTGCTTGGAACTATGCGCGTATCAGCAAGCTGATCCTGTACAGCTTCTACAAAAATGTCTGTCTCTACGTCATCGAACTGTGGTTCGCCCTCTACTCCGGCTGGTCGGGCCAGATCCTGTTCGAGCGGTGGACCATTGGTCTCTACAATGTGCTGTTCACGGCCATGCCCCCGTTCGCCATGGGTCTGTTCGAGAAGTTCTGCACGGCCGAGACGATGCTCAAGTACCCGATGCTGTACAAGCCCTCGCAGAACGCCAAGTTGTTCAATGTGAAGGTATTTTGGATCTGGATCTTCAACGCCCTGCTGCACTCGGTGTTCCTCTTCTGGCTGCCCATGGCCGCGTACTCATCGGATACCATCTGGAGGGATGGCAAGACCAACGACTACCTAATGATGGGAAATATGGTGTATACGGTGAGGCGCTCACACACACTTCTCAATTTACAATTCGACATTAGATTGAATTTTGCATTGCATTTCGATTGCAGTATGTGATTGTGACGGTCTGCTTGAAGGCGGGCCTCATCACAAACTCCTGGACCTGGCTGACGCATATGGCCATTTGGGGCTCCATAGTGCTCTGGTTCGGCTTTGTTCTGATCTACAGTCACTGCTTTCCGACCTTCAACATCGGCAGCAACTTCCCTGGCATGGACATCATGATGCTGAGCACGCCGGTGTTCTATCTGGGTCTGGTTCTGGTGCCAATCACCACCCTGCTGATCGATGTCATCTGCAAACTGTGCGTCATTGAACAACCCTACTCTACCCTAAATATTCGGTATATTACAATGTGTGCTTTCTCCTCTCCTGTCCGGCTTCGTTACAGGATACACAACACCGTGTTCAAGACACTCACGGAGGCAGTACGCGAAACCGAGATTAGGCGCAACGATCTCGCCGAAGTGATGAACGAGCCTCGATCTTCGTAAGTATCGACGCCACGCTACGCCAGGCACCTCTCGTAGAGTCACGCTTTCCCTTTACAATACATATCGTACATGCATATGTATTCGTATTTAGGCTTTTGTTTGTCTCCAAACAGAGAATCAACATCTAATCGTACATACATATATTTTCAATTTGAATTGTTGCGCATTTGTTGAAACTTGAATATGTAGACCCCTCTACCGCTATCTCAACCAATTCCGTTCTAACCAATCAAAGGCTGATTAAACCTACATACGTGCCTTATACTACATAAACTATATATATACATACATATATATCGATATGCTTCCTGTAGTGAATAGTTTGCACCAAAGTTTACAGTATCTTTAGCTCTCATAATTACTTAGCGTTTGTTTGTGGGTCATTATGCATTTGGCATTACTTTATCTTACGCCATGCCTCATGCCTCATCCCAGTAATTGCACTGCCACTCCCACTTCCACCTCCCCAAATTGTGTTTGTTGAACTTTCGATGTATGTTAGTGCTTATTTTCGTGCAACCAAAGTCCAACCTGTTGAACATTGGTCACTAAAAATTGCTCGAACCCTATCTCAAATTGTATACAAAATATCAAAACGAAACGGAACCCAACATATAATCGACATAAGGACGCGAGGACACACACCAGTGCGCGAAACATAAAAGGAAACAAACTTAGTAATAGAGAAAAAATGTGTACATAGTCTTAGAGCTGAACCTGTTTTTAGTTATTAGTTGTTCCAGTGCAGCACAAACACAATCTACATACAATGAACTGTAACAGACCCCTAACTATACCTACAATACTATACAAACTATAGATCATACTTATACAATTTAATGCACACTTAGCTGATGAAAAAAAGAGATTTCTTTTGAATTTACTTACGAGTGTATATATATGTTTACTTAGTTGTGTACGCATTTTGTAGATCAGATCTTATTGAGCAATTTTGAATGAAATTTATATTGAAAATTGGAAATGTTTAGTAAAAACTCTTAAGGCAGCATTGCATTGCTAGCAGTGTATCATTGATTGAAACAAACACAATTTCACTGGCTCCAGTCCAGAGTGCAAAACTATCCATCAGAATCAGACTTTACTCTTACTCCCACTATTACTCTTACCTTACCACATGGATTGTTTGTTATTCAGTGTTTTACTCAGTTTTGAGCAAGTATCTTTTGAATTGAATTTCCTAAAATGTAATCTTTTTATCCTTCTCTATCCCCCATCCATCCACAATACAATCAACTTGCAAACTCTTTTGTACATCATTTTCGCTGATGGCTCCTTGATCTTCTCCTTGCAATCAATCAATCAAACAATCAAAATCCATGCACCCATTTGCCGTCATTAGAGATTCTGGTTTTGCTTATGCCCTGGGCAAGCTATTGCGTTCCAGCTCAGTCCTCATATCCCGCCGGTCATCATTCAATGGCAGCAAAGAATTCACAGTCGGCCAGCGAGCTCACAGCCTGCGCATAGAGCACCTGGACCTCGAAGACGACAGCGTTGGCCAGCAGCGGAGCAGAAAGAGGCGAAGTGAGGTAGGAAGGGCAACCACTAACAAGCCGCGACGGAGTGCCGGCGAGTCTGTTATGAGCAACAGCTCCACCACCTCCACTATCACTACTACGCTGCATATGTGAACAGCTGGATCAAATCAAGCGTATCAATCGGATCAAGGCAAGAAAAAGCAAAGCAATATGTCAGTCGTATTGTCTTAATAGTGTAATATTTGTTATAGCGAATAAGTATACATAAATTCTTAAGTATGCGCATTGAGTACCGTCTAGCAACTGTCGAATTCATATCACAACGAACATAAGTCAATGTATAATGTGTAAATTTATGGAAATGTGCGAAGGCGGAATATTTATACAAACGAGTATGTGGTATTGTATGTGCTAACTATTTGCCAACTGTGATAGTGTCTGAAGAGTATATATGTACATATGTAGATGGATAGACACGCTAGGATAGACAGCCTAATGTCAAAAGCATTGCATTCCCAACATATATTACGTGCATAGGTATAAATATAGGTACATATATATAAATAATTTATAATTAATATTGTACTTGAGTATTTGGTTGTATTTTTTCCATGGCCGGATGTACTATAATTTACAGTTTTAAGCGACGTTGTAAAAGGTTGTAAAAGTTCAGCTACTATTTGTACTTAAGTGGGTGTTCACCCCAGTAAGCGGTGCTTTGTTCAATCTTATCCAACAATCTATTATGAACTACGTATACCTCCTACCTACCTATATACATATTTACGGAATGTGATGATATTCCCAGATGATATTTATGTATGTATCAGTTTTGAATATATATTATATGCAAATGAATGTATTTATGTATACCGCACCGTCCTTCACAGCCCGCATGCAATTTTACTAGGCCGATGATATACACTTACTCTATGGCTGTTGAATGATTTAATCTTGACTCTCATCGGATATGATATGATCCGATCTGCTCTGCACTTATGTATATTGTATTTATATTATTTTATTTTGTATTAATCAACATAACACACAACAAAGCGACTTTAACCAAACAAATCCAACCACACCCAACATCTGAAACCTGAAACCCAAGAACACACAACAATATCCAATAATCAATAATTTAATAAATCAATAAGTCAACAGCAAAATTATTTAAAATGTTTAATTGAAATTTCTATGAACATTTTCTGCGTAAATTTCTGTGTGAGCAGTACTATGTATGCCTTGGGATCGATTCTTCGGTGTAAGTAAATCGTAGATAAAACTGACATCCCATTCCCACACAACACCACACCGCACCAAACCACACCACCGTACTCGTACACACATCACACTGCCGTAACATACCATACCATACCATACCACACAATACCATACCATTGACACCACCACAAAAGGTTTCGTTAGGATAGGGGGTTTTGGGGGACGAAATCAGTGGTAAACCCAATTGGGATTAGAACAGGACACCACTCAATTAAATACGCGTATATTATATTCAAACACTTTATTTACGGATTTTATTGTTTACTATTATTCGTAGTGTCAACGATTCGTTGTAATTTTTGTAAGACTCGCATCGTTTCCTTTTATTTGCCAACTCTCAAATACTAGTAGGCTCATCTCCCTTTATTATGTACTCTGCATGCCCCTACAATTTTGTACACCTGTACTCACCTCGTTATTCAGTTGATCATCCTGATTTGATTATATGTATGTACTTAATGCCCAGCCCTGACCTGCCCCCCGCCAAGAGCCTCGATCTGTTTCAGCTACGTTTTCTATACAATAGAGATTGGATTGAATACTTGAATAATTGTAATTTTGTGAAAAGTAAAGTGCTAACAATTCAAAATGGAAAATCTTAGATTAACATAAACTGCAATAACTCAAAACTCAAATCCTATACAAAATTAAATCCGATACTAAACCATATCCGCCCCCGCTCAAAAAATTAACCCTACAGATTCACGGAAACTGCGAGGCTGCTACGTAATGTATTTACTCGTCGGGCCAACACGAGAGTCGAAACGGAACTAGAACTATCCCGTGAGTACAACCGAACCGCCTTTAACCACTCAGTTCCAGGAATATACCTGTACTCGTAGAATTCAGTGGAGTGGTAGGACTTGACCTGTAGGTTTTAAATCTGGTCCAAACCGAACCTCTAGAAATCTAGAAGCAAATATGGTTCATATATCGTATTTCTGGGATTTTTTTCCATTAGAAGGAGAATCGTTATACCGTGTACCTCAAACACACACAAATAAACACAAAGCTCATCCACACATAACCGATTCTACACATCAAGACCTGCATTCATACATTGATGACCAAGCCTATATGACGATTATTGACTGTATTATTTATTTTCTCAGATGGCTACGCTTTCTCACAGGAGGAGGGCGGAGCTGTGCCCCAGTCTATAGTTATACGGGCATATGATACCAATTTGCCAAAACCTGAAGGCAACTAGTCCCGGAGGGACGACGTTCGAATCGCTGGGCTGTGCAGCTACCGCAAGGACCAGCACTGCAACAAAATTTAATGATAACTTACCAATGTACATATTCTAATCCCAAGGGATACCATGAACATTTAAATTTGAACACACATGATTTGTACGGAAGCGATAGTGTAGCTGACATACCCATAAACATATTACGATCAGAGCACCTGAGCAGAAGTGAAAGAAATCACTATTCTGGTAGGCCAAACATCACACTAGTAACATTTATTCTTTATGTGTCTTACATTAACCTCACAGTAACGTAACTTAAACGTCTTATAGGAGCAACATTTAGTACATACACATACATACATACATACATAGGAATATTAAAAATGGAACACACACATATGCGAATATCTTTGCTGTTATTTATTTTTTAAGATCGGAAAAGAGAGTGAAGAGGCTAGAAATTCGTTCGATCATGTCATTCGTATCTGTCCTTATCCTTTGTGCTGCTTTGTGATACGGACACAGACTTGCATTCTTTTTCTAACACTAAATCTAAGTAACTAAATACTGTAAACATTTGTACCTATATAAGCATTAAATTTCAACGTTTGTCTGTCGGCAAAGATCCTGTATTTTTTGGTCACTAAATCATTTATATATTTTCGTTGAAAATAAATCATATTTCTCGACAATGAGTTTGACTATTTAAAGGAGGTCGGGACAGTGTCGAATCCAAGTGAAGTGAAATCTTCAAACCCAATCTAGATTTCTTCTTTGTGAACAAGTACAGCCCTTCCACTGATTTAATAATATATGTTTTCTTCTGGTTCCAAAATACTATATATTCCAAATACGCTGAGAGCTTTACAGTCCAGTTACAGTAACCACCAAAATGTGGCTTTTGGTATATTCGAACTTAATTTGTATATAATTGAGTTGGGTAGTGTTACTTTCACATTAATTGCGGAATTGGTGAAAGCTATTGTCGGCAGTTGTGTATCAGGCAAACAACACTTACGAGAATACCCCAATGAAATTGCCAGCTAAGCACTTACCAGCACTAAAAGCTCAACGATTAAAATGATTTGTGATGATTTTCCAAACAAAGCGAGCCGGGAAAACGGTAAAAAATTTCGATCAACATGGTAATTGTATAATATCTTTTGTTTGAATCCTTCTCATGCTAAACATACATAGGCCAGCTTCTTGCTGTCTCTCGCCATCAGTATTTTCTGGGTAGACTGGGTCTTAGGACAACAGTCGCCCAATATACTGCTGATCTTGACAGATGATCAGGATGTCGAGCTGCACGGAATGTACCCGATGTATGAAACCAGCAAGCTCTTGGGACAAGCCGGAGCACAGTTCCACAATGCATTCACGCCCACGCCCATTTGCTGTCCCGCCAGGGCAAGTCTTCTCACTGGGCAATATGCGCACAATCACAGAACCTTTAACAACTCTGTCAGTGGAGGCTGCAACGGCCCGGAATGGCTGCATCGGTCTGAGCCCCGGGCTTTGCCCGTTATTCTTCAGAACCACGGCTATCGTACGTTCTTCGCTGGAAAATATCTAAACCAGTTTAGGGGGGCGAAGGTGCCGCGCGGTTGGAACGAGTTTTATGGACTGCATGGAAACTCCCGCTATTACAATTACACGCTGCGCGAGAATTCCCAGAATGTCAGCTATACGTCCACTTATCTAACTGACCTGCTGCGCGATCGTGCGGTTCACTTCCTACGCAGTGCCACCCAAGGCGACGTGCATAGGCCATTTTTTGCAATGGTTGCTCCGCCAGCACCTCATGCCCCATACACACCGGCACCGCGCCATCGGGGAGTCTTTTCCAATACGAAAGCTCTGCGCACCCCTAGTTTCAACAATCCTACAGAGGGTAAGATTTGCCACATATACTCGTATGTATTTTTTTATGACTGTCCAATTGAATGCCCCAGATAAACATTGGTTGGTTGGATCGTCCGCACATCTGTCGAATGAAACAATCGCCACAATAGACAGATACTTTCAGGGGCGCTGGGAATCACTTCTGGCTGTCGACGAGTTGGTGGCCGCCTTGGTGGCAGTGCTAAATGAGACGAAATCCCTCGAAAATACCTATATCATATACACCTCGGACAATGGGTATCATATGGGGCAGTTCGCCCAGCCGTTTGACAAGCGACAGCCGTATGAAACCGACATTCACGTACCCCTGCTAATACGGGGTCCAGGAATAGCTGCAGAAAGCCACCTACACGTAGCCGTCAGCTTGATAGATCTGGCGCCGACAGTTCTGGATTGGGCCGGCATAACCGTTCCCCACTACATGGATGGGCGATCAATTTACGGGGATCTGTTACAGGCGGGTCGGACAGACGGGGATATTTCGCTACATCCCCCATACCGCCACTCGTTGCTAATAGAGTATTGGGGCGAGGGTAACGATGACACCTACAATCCGTCATGTCCGTGGCGACGCAGTGATCGATTGGCGGAATGTACACCTGAAGCCGCTTGTCATTGCCAAGATTCGTGGAACAACACATTCGCTTGCTTGCGGGACTTTAAATATAATGACGATCGCATATACTGTCAGTTTAGTGATAACGAGGTAAGGTATCAACCTACATAAAAAATATACATTTCCAAATTATTATCTCTTTGTAACAGAACTTTTCCGAGGCATATGACCTGCGACAGGATCCTTATCAAATGGTGAACATTGTCTACGACCTGCTGCCGATTGTGAGAGCTCTGTATAGGTTGCGGCTTCAGAACCTAACCAAGTGTTCTGGCCAGTCGTGCATAGTATAAGTATGCATCCAATAATCAAATCTGATCGGGAAATTCCCAACGCAACTTGTTATTCTTTGCATCCAATACAAATATTGTATTGCGCTGCTGTAATCTTGCTGATCTGTTTGCTTGTCAATGTCAAGGTGCATCTTACTTTAAAATTACTCATAACTCGTTATATTCTATACATAAGACTACAAGTTTTGTTAAATATTTTTATTATCATAAATTTGTATGATTTAGGTATTAAAACTGAAAATGTAAAGGCGATTAGAAGTTGAATTCGTTTCAGGTAGCTATTACTTACACGCTGTGAGGGTCGGCCTGGTCGGCCGACAATGGAATTTCCGTGTTGGTCAACAGAAACTGTGCGGCCATCCGGACGCGTCCATACTGAAACTTTCGAGTTCCACACGCCAGCCTGATTCTCACGGGCTACAAAGTTTTCTCCCTGCACCCGAGCATCGTTAATGCCACGGCGTCCACGCTGAACTACAAATCCTCCGGGACCAACATCTACTGTTCGACCAGGACGCTCAACGTGAAATTGTGGGCTGCGGCGTCCACGCTGAACTACAAATCCTCCGGGACCAACATCTACTGTTCGACCAGGACGCTCAACGTGAAATTGTGGGCTGCGGCGTCCACGTTGAATAACATATCCGGCCGGACCGACATCTACTGTACGACCGGGACGTTCCACGTGCAATTGGGGGTCCCGTCGGGTACGACGTCCGGCGTGCAAATCATTGTCTGCGTGGTTTCCCTTAATAATTTTATGCTGTCCATTTGTAGCTGAGAAGCTAGGACCGCTGATGGTGTGCGTTCCTACAGATATACTCATATAGTGGAATTCTTATAAAACTCGTATGGCTTGACTGTACCTGGTCCTCCGGCATTTTTTCGGTTCACATAAGTGTTGCCACCTTCATCCGTATAGACGTGTTCGCCCCGCGATGGAGTGTTCTGAAATTGGCCGCCTACACCGGGCACACTATAGGTTCCTTCATTTTGTCCCCGTATATATACCTGATTGCCAGGATCTCCAAACACATGGGGCCCGTTGCGTCCGTCGTAGGTGTGTTGGGGATCGGCAGCTATAAGGAAATATATATTTTTCCGATTAACAATGTTGAGGACATCCAGGCCATTCAGGTTGCTTACCGACGCATAAAACGCCACAAACCACTAAAACCACTGATCCAAACGACTTCATTATATTCTGTGGCGTTCTCAGACACAATTCTGAGCTGCAACTGAGCTCTGCTTGACCGGCTGCCAGTATTTATAGTAGCTAAGCGGTCGTAAGACATCAAGACATGAACTACCTATCACATTAGTAGCTGGGTGAGCTTTCAGCAGCCGCCTCTGAATTTCCCAAACGTCACAATCTTATTTGATAAGGGAATGCGATCGGGAATTTCAGAAAACGTCTTACAATACGTACTTTTGTTGCAGTATTGACCCAGAGTAACGAGGCAATTGTTTTATACGAGCCTTTGTCTACCCAACTGATTGAATTTTATATTTTATGCAGATTTCCTGTCAAACTTTCCGACTCAAATCTATCGAAAAGCCGAAACTTTTGCAAAGAAAGGAACAATTTGTATACATTATAATTATTTTATACGATTAAAATCCTTTACTTCGTTCCATAGTTTTAGTTACAAGGTGAATTGACAAACAAATAAAATTCCAATTGAGAAAAACCATCCATTTAACGGAAAGCTGCAGTTTCGTAGCAGCGGTAGATCGGTGTAGCATTTGTACTGACGTTGAATTGGCGTTGGCAATGAGTTTATCGAGCTCGCCAACGAGCTATTCCTCAGGCACTTTCCACTGCAACTGCTTTCCGCGCTCGTACAGGTTTTTGAGAGCACTCGTGAACTTCTTGTCGGCCTGCAATTTTAAATAGTGCTTATAAAGCTGCAGAGTGGTCCGTGCATCCTCAATGGAGTCGTGTGTCTCGGACTGTATCTTTGTGCCTGATCGATCGAAGAAGTAATTAGCATAAGGTATATCCAGGGGACGAAACAATTACAAACCCAAGAAATGCCAGGCCAGAAACCGCAGCGACACCATTCGATGGTGTGGCATGTGGAACAGATGTACAGTGTCGATTATTTGCTCGGAGGGAACATATATGTTGATGACCCTAAAGTGGCCCGAGTCTATTGTAATGTCTGTAATGTCTGATATATTTCGGTTTCTTACCTGAAATCATTTTTGAGACCGTGTCCCACAAATATGACACCAACATCAACCAGATATTTCAACTTTTGATACGAATACTTGAGGGCCGTCAGCCGTTTGTTGCTGAAGTTCGCATCCAAGTCGCCCGGTTTGATCCCAGAAAATTGTGTTAGGTAATCCACAACCTTCTCTTGTGTCGAGATGTAGTCGTCCATGAATGGTACTCCCTCGCTCGCTCCTTGTCTATGGGCACAGGATTTCTTGTTTATAGAAGGGATTTCGTTCAAGTACTTGACTAGCGAAATTACTTACCCTCGAATACATGAAATGCGGGCCACGCTCATATGGCATGGTTTGATGGTCGCTGTTTTACCATCCGGACGAATTTCATTCTCCTCCGGATTTAGGGTAACGAATTCTGCATCCATTGCGACCAAGTCTCCTGACTGTGGCATTTCATTGGATTGCAGCGGCTTCAGAGTTGCGTCTGTGCTCAAGTTGCTTGAAATGGGACTCACCATGTCCTAATAAATTGCACCGATCATTACTACATTCAACAAGCTAATGGTTCGTTACACTCACTTGTAGAAACGGATTGGAAAAGCTAACAGATGAATCGCTTGCGTCGTCTGATGGAGGTGACTCTTCGGGGACTTCTGTGGATTCAGAGCTGCTCGACGAATCAGATTCCTCCTCGATGCTTCTGTAAAAGAGCACGCACGGCACTTTCCAATCCAAAGTGAACCAAACCGACTCTTGCGGTGACACAGGAGAAATGCTAAGGATTGTATCATTTGAGGATATTCAATCCGAAAACTCAGCGTTAGTGTCAGTGTTAGTGTTAGTTGCAACTTAACTCACCTGAAATCATTGAAAATGTACCACTGGTGCTGCGAATCCTCCGAGGACTCCGAGGCTGCCAGCTTCATGGTGTGGTACTGCCGTCGCACATTTATCAAGGAAACAAGGTTCTTCTGGGTGCCATCATCGACTTGGCAGACGACAGCGTGTAATGAATACATTCGATTAATCTCGCCCTTTTCTTTGGGAGGCTTGTCCCCCTCCTCCTCGTGTTCGCCCTTCTCCGTATCCGATTGCATTTCCACGACCAGCTCTCCCTGGTCGGTAATGGTCATGGTAAAGGTAAGCGGGAACCATGATTTCTGACGACCGCTGGGCGAACTGCTAGAGTTGTTTGATTGGCTCGTGTGCGACGGGGACTTTCTGCAATACGTTCATAAAGATTTACACAGACGAAGCTTTTGAATATATCTAAACAGAGCTAACCGATCCGGGTGCATAAAGTGGCAGTCGCTTCGCGAGCAGTTGGCTCCATAGCGACAGGGTTTGCTTGTGCTGAGGGAAGCAGATACCTCCACAGAGGCCTTTTCGTTGCAGCGATTGAGCTGGCGCTTTAGAAAACATATATCCTTTTCGTTATTGAGACCGCAATTGATAGCCAGCATTTGCGGAAGAGATGTGACCTGCGAAGATTAAATTCCAATATAAATGTCAATCTCGCCATCAGGTGCGTGAAATCTCTTACCTTTACGCTCTGATTAGTGGGCGAAAACTTTTTACAGTTCTCGCAGAAGGCCTGAATGCTCTTTTCCGAGCTGAGAGAACGCTTCAAAATAGTTCCAAAGTTGAAATACTGCTCACTATCTTTAATGTGAGTGGGATACGACATGTTGCAGGCCAGCAGCAGGTTTTCCTTCGATTTCTGTAAAATTAACTCTTTTAAAAACCTTGCACATGCACAATATAATTAATAATTTCTACCTCAACGTGACATTTAATGCAGCGGTTTATACAGATCTGCTTGGTGCCGAATATTTTGCTTATATCCGTTTCTGCGTTAATCTTGCTGCGTTCCCTGTCATCATCCTTGGCGCTGTCATCTATTAGTGTGGAAGAAACCCAGGTATATACAAGATTATCTAATTCAAGAAGTTTCTCTCTCATACACCTACCACAAATTGAGTCGTATAAATCTGTGGAGCCACTTGCGTCGACTGTGCTCTCAGCTGAAACATAAACTTTGTTTAGTATTCACACCCAATCAAGATTGTTCATGGTTACCACTATTCGGGGCATACACAGTGCCGCCTCCCACAGATGAGTTCTTGCTGGAATCGAAGATTTCGTAATGCATTTGATGCAGTATAAATCGGTTCCAGTTCTGTAGATGCAGAGATGTTTGTCTCCAAAGTTTATGATAATACTACATACATACATATATAAAACTTACCTGTATCAATGTGATTAGGTTTACATTTGCCGACCTATCAGTGAGAATCAAGCCCAAGGCCGAGGCCTCTGGGACAGTGCGAAAGGAACGCAGAAAATTGCTGGCTTGACAAGGCGATGAAGCTGCAAAACAAAAGCGAAATCAAATATACTTCACCGCTTGTTTCTCGGGCAAATGTGGACCAACCGCTACTCTTGTCCAGCATGTTGAACAGGAAGCCCAGTTCGCAGGACAAGCAGAACTCCTTTGTGCAGACATGTTCGATGAGTTTCATGCGCAGCGGCTCTGTAAAATACAGGATCTGAACAAGGTACATACAATTATTTAAATGCATTGGCTATCATTCGCTAATCAGAATGTCGGACCTGCAGCATGGAATTGCAGTAGGAATTGGGCAGCGTCGCCTCCAATCCAGCGAAGCATGTCTGATTGTGTTGATCAAAGTCGAAGTCTTGTGTGCCCAGCTTTGTATACTTGAGCTCAACTTTGCGATATCGCCTTGGAATGATTTTGACGCCGTTCTCTGCCTTGGTAACCGCTGCAGCTCCATTTAAAATAGTGCTGCCTGCTCCTCCTGGTTCAATTACATACGGAATTTGATTCCGTCGAGCTGTGCGTGGATTCGGCGAGTACCCAATGGGTCCTTGCATTTTCATGCTGCCCAAGACATCGGGCTCAATGGTCTTGGGTCTGTGGTAGCGATAGTGCAGCAGCTCATCGGGCCAATCGGAGAACCACTGAGTACCTGTCGTCAGGTGGGGCAGCATGACCGATGACAACGGAAAGTTCGTATCCGTAATCGAAACCATAGGCAGCTGCGGCACCACATCTGCGAACTCTGTGTTGCGCGAGAAGGGATTGAACTGCGGCTGAGGGGTTTGCACTGACGCAACCATGTTGATGTGGCCCGACTGGTCGCCGAACGCCATCGCCTGCGAAGAGGAGCTTATGTCAAAGCTGAGGCACTGGCTGCCATTTGTGTTAATTTGATACATTGAAACTCGCGGCTCGCTTAGCTCGACTGTGTCAACCAACTGAATTTGGCCGTAGCTGGACACGACGGCCAAGCGGGATGTCAGAGACGGAAGGAACTTGAGCATTTGAGGATCAATGAGAACTTGTATCGGCGAAATTAGTCGCAGCATACGCAGGTCGTAAACCATGAGGAATCGATCTATGGCCAAGTTGTTCTGCCGCCCGCTGTAACCGCACGAGATAAGAAGGTTGCCCTGCACACTAAAGTCGGAGAGGACATTGGTATGAGTTTTAATTGTATGCTGCACACTCAAGCTGTTCAAGTCACGTAGCGTGACCGTCCCAAACTGATCACCGGCAAAAAGATATCGCGAGTTCTTGCGCAGAACCGTGCAGCCGGCGGCGCCCACATGCTCCAATCGGGTTTCCTTGAGCGTACGCAAGTCAAAGTCAATGAGCTCCTCCTGGAGCCCAGCCATAACCAAGCGGTTGGGGGATAGCTGCAGCATGCACACCATTTCCGCCATATGATTGGATCTGTAAAGATCCCAGCCGATCGATTGAAATCATTCAGCTTTTTAGACATTTCTTCACTTACTTGTGAGTGAACTTGGGAAGACCTCTTCTAATTTGATGACGCAGCGAGGTCTGCGTTAGCACAAGCACTCCCGAGTCAAGGGTTGCGATTTGACGGACTATGTCGCTGGCGTGCACTTGGAATGATGTATATTTTTGCATGGAACTCGTATAGTAGGAGGTGACATGGCCCTGAAGTTACGTATTGCGTTAGGTGAGAAATATCAATGCTTCAATTAGCTTCCTCTTACTCCCTGGTTTCCCATCCACAGCAGCTCCTCATAGTCATCGAAGACCACACTGGAGACGCCAAAGTGCTCCCCACCATCGGCAAGAACTGGGGCAAGTTCCACATAGTCCGGGTCGGTGGTGCCTATATTGAAACCATTGAAACTTGGGGAGAAGTGTCCAGTGCCGCGCGCTGGTCCCCCATCGTAGACACCTGAAACGTAAACAAAGGAGGAATCTTTTCTGATTTTGTCAATTTTAATAATGCAGACGCATACATATGCAAACGTGTGTGTTTGTATTCGTATGCACATATCGGTGAAATGCGACATACTTAAAATATCCTCTGAGGCGCCGATTTCGGAGCCACAATAAACGTAATCCATCTACTAAATTGTGCTCGTTTGCATATATTTCTTTTTTTTTGTTTATTTAGATGAACAAAGTTTAGTTCTTTTCTGTTTTCGTTTGCATCAGTGTGATGACCCTCAGAAAGATACCGAAATACGTCACAAATTTCAAAGTATACTGATGAATTATTTGTATTCAAGTTGCATCATATTCCTCTTTTTTGATGTTCCGTTGAATATTACTAGCAGATAAGACCCTCAGTTCTGAAGTCATAGTTTTATCTGATTATTAAATCAATTGCCTACAAGAATGTTTAAAATTAAATTTTCATCAACAATTTCTACTAAATTAATTTCCCTACGTGGTAATTACACGTGAGCTACATTTGAACATATTAACTACATTTGTATGTAATTGACAAATTGTGCGTTTTTTTATATGGAAGCGACAGTGTGGAAAACGTCCGTTATTTACTTTTTAACATGACTTTTGCAGAAAATTTTGAAAAAATTTCGATTTAGATGGAAAACGATCAGGCATTCGATGCTAATCAGGAATTAGTATTCGATGGGGCCTGAGATATGGATTTAAATGGCATTTCTCATTGGCATTTCGACATTGGTGCATTGGACAAGAGGGTGAGTAAAATATACTGAAAAATACTAGATCATTTTATGAAAAGTTCAAAGCTGGCAAAGTGAGGGAGCTAGACATGGTGGCAAGAAAATCAGTACGACCGCGGACCCTGTGATAACATATACGGTCTCACCCTCAGAAGTACACCGAAAAATATCGTCTCATTTTTAAAATATACCGTAAATATACTGTCGAATTCAAGTTATATTTTACATATTCCTCGTTTTTGATATTCCGTCGAGTATTACTAGCTCGATGGATCCCTCAGCAATGCTCACATAATTGTATCCTATTAATGAATCAATCAACTACTTGAATCGCTTGTTTTAAATACTCCTTTTTATTGGACTTTGTCTAAAAATAATGCTTAGCGAAAAAGGTCAAGCAAACATATTAAACAAAGTTAGCATCTAAAGCATATACAAAATAATAGTTTTTCTGATATGGGGGGGCAAGCTTCTTCAGTGTCGTAAAACTCTAATAATTCTAAAGTTTAAGGTATGTGAGCCCTAGTAAGTTTATTCCATAGATTCGCCAATAAAAACATACATGTATGTATATGATAAAAAATATATTCAATATTCGATAAATACCACTGAACTGATCGAAATACAATGCTGCGTATAACATCCATCGTCAGCAGGAAATACGGAATTGGAATTTATTTTGAAAATCATTTTTCAAAAAAGATGGCAGCGTTGCAGCAAATTGTGGAAAACAATGAACGCGCTTCAGCGTTGGTTGACTCCCTTAAGTCAGAGGCAAGTATTACAGGGCTCTGTGAAATTCTATTTTCATCTCAACTTTACGAAAACAGATGGCCGGGATCCAAAGTCAGCTCGTGCTCCGCAAGAAACAAGAGCTAATCAAGGAAAACGCCTCACTTGAAAAAGAAATCGAAGCGGCTCTGGCACAGCTAGTGCAACTCGAACTACGAAATGGCAAGCAGCAGATATTGGTCCCAGGCTCCCGAGAATTCTGCACCGATGCCGCGGCAGAAGCTGGCTCCAAGCCGGCAGCAGCTGCCCCTTCAAATGGACCCGCAAGTGAAGCGAAAGCACCTTCCGCTCCACAAAAGGAGAAAAAGGTGAAGGAAAAGAAACCTGCTGCCGAGAAGCCCACTCCTGTCGCCGAGGCTCCAGTTGATGTCGGCCGCTTGGATCTGCGCGTGGGAAAGATTATTGAGGTGGGACGTCACCCCGATGCGGATAGCTTGTATCTAGAAAAGATTGACTGTGGCGAAGCCGCCCCACGCACGGTCGTCTCCGGCCTGGTCAAGTTTGTGCCGCTGGAGGAGATGCAAAACCGTATGGTTGTGGTAATGTGCAATCTGAAACCGGCTAAAATGCGTGGCGTGACCTCAGAGGCCATGGTGATGTGTGCATCGACACCGGACAAAGTGGAAGTGTTGAGCCCACCTGCAGGCGCAGTTCCCGGCGATCTGGTTCACTGCGAGGGATACACACGGCAGCCGGATGCTCAGCTAAATCCTAAGAAGAAGATCTTCGAAACATGTGCTCCTGACCTAATGACCAATGCCGACCTGGTGGCATGCTACAAGGGCTCAGCTCTGCATGTTCCTGGCAAGGGCAATGTTGTATCTCAATCCCTGAAAAACGTCAATGTGAAGTAAACCAATAAACGAACATATTCTGACACTCGCGCCTCCGTGTCTACTTACTCAGCGTTTCAGGGATTACATTTTATTTTACATCAACATAACGACATTAAATTTAGCATTAACAGTAACTTTTGTATATGAATAGATAAATTATATGCATAATATATACTCCGTACACAATTTGGCGGTGAGTGTGGTATTGGACTTCCTATAACTGACTGATTGTTAGCGATTACGTTGCTGCTGCTGCGGCACGTCGGTACGGTATATGGCATTGGAATTGGACTCGACGACTATAGTCTTTGTCATTATGTCGTATGCAGTTCTATTGTTCTTGAAGAATATCATAACAACGCAGATGGGAAACAGCAGCGTCATGACAAGGTTCTTCGCAAGGGCCCGTGCGAATGCCCTCAGCAACTTTGGTGTCTCAGCGGGATAGAGCAGGGCTCGCAGTGGTTCCCGCTGCGGCTGGAAAACAAATTGTGGCAAGACGGGCGCCTGCAAAGGAAGAACTGCCTCCACATAGTGTATGCGTATCTTCATCAGCGATTTTCCAGGCGTAGCTCCGTTGTACCAGACCGTCCAAACAGCCTCGTAACAGCATACTATCATCTTGGTTAGCATCTCGATCATGAGCAGATCGGATGACATATTTATAAAGTCCATGGAGAGGTCGAAGAAGTTCACAAAGAGATCCTCGTCTTCCAGCGTTCTCCGCATGACGTCCTTGTCAAAATCGATCTCAAAGAGATTCACTATGCCAAAGGTAACAATTATTTTCAGTATGAACAGGATGAGCATGTCAATGGCCTCCGCAACGGCTCGTTTCCAAAACGGCGCCACCACATACTCATATCCTCCCACACGCTGAATGGTCTCTTGCTGCTGGATTTCGTCCAGCACCCGGAAGCGGTGGAAGGCGGACGGAGCTGCTGCGGGAGCGGGGGCATTTCCAGTTTCCTGTGCCCGTAGAGGGGGACTCGACAGTAGGGGATTCGTCTGAAACAGTTGCGGGTAGTTGGCGAGCAAGTAATATGGAAACATCGCCATTGCGTTTTGGGAGATGGATGCTTGCTTTGCCCATTCGGAAAGACTGGCGAAATACGCTTCCTTCGTTGTAAGGTCCTGGCTGACAGTGGGGTCAGTAAGAAGCTTTTGCAGCTTTTCTTCGATTTGCTCGCTCATTTCTCTCGAGAAAATGAATTTATTTGTTATGAATTTTTTTTACTACTCGGTTGACGTGTATAACATCGATGTTTGCGTGCCCGATGTTTATATATATCGATACCAATATATCGGAAGGGCAGCCAACGGAAGCCACCGCTGCATCCGTTGAGGTTTCTTGAATGGAGGATTTACCCTGATTTTCACTGACATGGCCGTTAACCAGGCGCTGACCGGCACTACGGAGAATCAAAGCGGCTACAATCAAGTGCCAGTCATGGCCTGGAACTGATCGAAGAAGTCGGTGTAATCCTTTAAATAGAGATGCAGCAGGTTGGCGTAGAGCATTTGGTAGACTAGCTCCTCCCGAGGCCCCTTATCATGCGGAGCGCCAAGCGCGAAACGCCTACAAACCTTGAGCAGATCTTTACAGTAGATCAGCGATACAGAGCGGTACAAGTTTTTGTTTGCAGAAAATTTGAATCAGTGTCTATAGCATCACTGGTTCCACTGTGAAGTCCTTGCCATCTAGGTTCAGCATCACTGTGTCCACGTCTGTTATGGACTTGTTTAGCCTCGTCGTTAGTTCATCCGCGAGTCTCTTGTCCTGGGACCCCATGTTAGAGAAAAGCAGAAGACTCTTGAAAGTGGTATTAAGAATAAATGCACGAGAATTTAAATCAATTAATATTACACAGTTCGAAGTTGTTTAATTTATTCCTTAAATGTAGCCACTTACAAAACGAATGCATACATTAATCCGCCGACACTCCAGCCATGATATTTAATAATCACCTTGAGAAAAAAATGAGAGATTATCTTAAGATGCGGAGCATTTAAAAGTACAGAGCCAAATCTTTTACTTTACATACTCTTTTTCCTGCATGGACTATTTAGGCAAATAGAAGGTATATGTACCTATTAAATACCTAGCTAATATTTCAAAAGAACATGTACATTTATTTCGGAAGTGCATTAGTTGCGTTGCTTTTAGATTGAGTTAGATTTTTATTATTTTGGTGTTACACATAGTTATGGTATAATTGGAATAGATTCGACGAACGGCCGCCGTACTGCACTGCCTGCTAACATTGAACATTATCTAATACATGGCTCGTCGCGAGAGGCAAGTGGATAATTCTGCTATCAATACGTATGTTTTGCTCGAACACGTCTCAACACAACTAACTAACTGGCAAGTTGTACATCAAATGGATATAAACAAGTATTACTTATCATCTCATCTCGCACACATGCTGGAACACGAGACATACGTTTGTCTTAAAATTAATTAAAGGAATACATATACATAAATACAATCTGTATTTATTGCCAAACATTACCGATATTTAAGTTTCCGAATTGCTGGTTTAGATTGGATGGTACTGAGGAGGCAGTGGGGCCAGCCGAGGTGGGGAATCCAATCGGACCGGTTTGGGGCGCCATAGGCAAGCCACTGGATAGAGGTTGCATGACATTCATGGAGAGGCCCGCCAGCTGCGGGTGTTGCTGCTGCTGTGGAACCGCTTGTGGGTGTGCCCCAAACAGGGGCATCCCACTAAGAATGCTTTGATTTGTCTGCATCAGATTCGATCCAGATCCTTGCACGGGCAAGGTTCCGCCTGCAGCATACGGACTGGTCCCAGAGTTCAGAAACTGGCCACCGCCAAAGCCGACTCCACCCACTCCCGCCAGGCTCATTGAATTGGCACTCGAGCTGATGGGGGCGTTGCTGAACGCGTTGGGAGCAGCCATTACAGGAGCATTGTACATGCTAACGGAATTCGGCGGCGTCATAAACTGATGCGGAATCTGCTGCTGCTGTTGCTGATGCATGTATCCCCCAGGAGCCATGCCTGTGAATCCGCCGAAATTCAGTTGAGAACTATGAGTGGTAGGTGCATTTCCATACAAGGCGAGGATACTATCCTTGGACAGCTTTCCAGACTGGTCCTTGTCACTGGCCCCGTTCCCCAGCGAGCCTTGGTTGAAGAAGTCCTGCTCCTCCTGGGCCAATGAATTGGGTTTTGAGGCCAGCAGGGTATCCCCATTGTTCCCATTGAATTTCTCTTGCTGCCCTGTGGCATTATCAGTCGGGATGATGCCACAGCTGCTGGCACTTAGAAAGCTGGTGAAACTTTCGTTTTGAAGGTCTTGGCTAGCCGTGGTGGCAGGCCCGCCGCCGACTATTGGCTTAGTGGGCGATGAAAGTCCCAAAAGATCACTTTCGCCGGCGCTGCTATTGCTGCTATTTAATTGTACACGATGTGTGGTCTTTGGGCTGCAGCCGCCGACTTGGTTCGGCTTGGGCTTGGGCAATGGGGCGGGTAGTGGCGAGTTTTTGGATGCAGTCGCCGAGGTGGAGGCCCGCTTGTCGGAAGCGCTGACAACGCCACTAAGACCCAAGCTGGCTTGTGTACTTTTCTTTTTCCTCTTCTGCCGCTCTAGTTCTTCATCGATTTCTTTGGCCCAGTCTACTTTGGGTGGTGACGGCGGCACCCATTCGCGGGCCAAATACTTTTTGTGTTCGTATTTTGCGCGAATAAAGTTCTCCAATGCGGTGTCCACCTGTGGTCGTCGGAATCCGTCTGGAAGCTGCGCCTCGTACACAGCGCGAGCCCTAGAGTTTCCCATTTGCTGCAGCGAGATCACTTGCTCCGGCGTCCAGGTATCCAGATTCACCGACTTCACACGTGATATATGAACGCCCAAATTCCGGTGGATGCCAGCGCAGCGGATGCACAGGAACATGCCCAAGTTCCAAGAAGCCCAGCGAGGACCTGTTAATGAATGCAGTTCATGTATTATAGTGCTTTTAAGCGACTGTACATAGATTTACATACATATGTAAAAGATAAAGATAAATTCTTTGCAATCCTGGCAAGCAATCAATTTTATTTATCTCACGAGTCCGCCCATTCTATTCTGTTTACAATGTGGTGTACATATGTACACATATACATAGATAACTATGGATGCATATGTGTACCGATGTACATCCGTGCGTCACCAGGAGCGAACTTTATCATAAGTTATAAATTATGTATTGCACTTACCCTTGGCATCGCAGTCAACACAATATTTGTTATCTTCGTCGCGTAGCATTTGGGTTAATAAGGTTTGACATTTTTCCTGTATCAGTTTGGTGCGTTGGCCTGCATTTGAAGAACTCATTTTCTTGCACTTGTCTCTTCGCTCCGCTCCGATGTATTGTATTGGTATTTGTGAATGTACGTGGATTCTGTACGTGTGCGCTAGTGCAACGTGGCGTGGGAGACGAAGAGGTGCTTTAGACCTTATCTATTATTTTGCATGGAGACAAACAACCAATTTTTAATTTTAATTTTATCAGAAAAGTTTTTTACCGAAAAGCAGTGTGACCGCTGACTTATCGCTAGAGTATACCGTCCGACCCTCAGAAATATATCGTCTCATTTGAAAAATATACTGTAAATATACTGACAAATTCATGTTCTATTATACATATTCCTCGTTTTTGATATTCCGTGGAATATTTCTAGCTAAATAAAACCCTCAGCCCTGCCCACATAATTTTATCCGATTAATGAATCAATTTTCTACCTGACTGGCTTATCTTAACAACTTGCTTTTATTGGATCTTGTCTTACTACGAAAATATCACAATCGATATATATATTGTGTCCGAACGGCACACAATGCTGTATGATCAGTTTCTATATAACATATGCAAGATATTTCTGCACTTCACTCCGTCTATCCGCCGTAGGGCCTCAAATGCATTTGATAATAATCCAGCGCATATTACTAAATTTGTAAATAAATATTTAAATGCACATATTATCGATACCATGGGCGCGCCAACTAACCGCAAAACACCGACGACATCGCATAATTTCCCAAAATCGGGCAGGCTTCGGTTTTCACTTGCGCAAAGCTTTCCTATTTAATTTTTAAATCGCAAAACGCAAGTCCCGCAAATTAGCTAGTGTTAGCAAAGTCTAATACTCAGATCATCAAAATTTTACGCCGACCAAATCAGGGATGATATACGTATGGAAACGATAAGATAAAATATTCGCACCTGGCTTTTCAGGCAGTGAGTAAGAAATCCTGGGGCCAGTGATTGAAAATGAAAAACAAATTTATTTAAAGATCGTTACATATGTGTGTAAAAAAAAATGTTCAAGTTCTGGAACTTCCTGTACTTTTTTTGAAATGCAACAGTGTGTACGGCCTTGCCAGACGGTTTTAGGAGTGCCGCTTCAAAGCAAGCCACCTTTCAAATAGATTGTTTACGATTTGAGTATACCCAATTAAAATCTTATATTTCAGTAAATATGGAAGTCCTGAGGAAAAAACTAGACGCGTGCCTTCTTATACTAGACAATAGTATTGAAACCACTAGTGTCAGAAATATGAATTGGCTGAATGTACGGTAAAAGGTCCGCAATGCCAGAGAAGATATTGCAATGGTTCTTTGTTCGCAGGACTTCTGTGCGGCTCTATTGGAATTTGCATCTGCTGTCCACAAATCTTTGAGCGACCGGAAGCAGAACGACAAAAGCCACGCGTCCGAAGAATTGGTTTGTCTTTGCCTCACTCAGATTATGGTTTGTGTGCGGCAGGTAGAGTGCACAATGAAACTGGCGTCTGGCTCTGCAGTTTCGGTAAATATCTCAAGAAAATTGCATACATACACATATTTCTGCATCTCTTACATTAGGCGAGCCACCTCTATTTCCTCGATCGCATTCGCTGGTGTCTGCAACGCCTGTTGCATCTTTATTCGAGTGAGGAGGCGGCAGAAGATAGCCAGGGGCGCTCCTTTCTCAAATTGCTAGACTCCACGCTGGACACATTAGCTCTGTTTAGTTCGAACAATGAAGAAAACAGTGATTTAATGAACTTTCAGCATACACCATCAGAAATCCTGGGCCTAAGCGCACAGCTGCGCGTTAACATTGATTTGCTGTTGGGCCAAACATTGGGGTTTGCGAATGTGGCCCTGCAACAGGATAAAAGGGCGCTAAGTGCACTGTGCCAGAAGGTAGGCAGATCGATGTACCTTACTTTTTATTAGACTTATATTTTGTCATATAAGGTAATTCGTGAACTCAACGCATTTCAAGATGAATGCAAAGTCCAGAACTCTTCGAACTCCAATCTCAAACTGAAAGCCATGACACTGGAACAGGCGCTTTATCAGCTAGAAGATTTCATTAATGATGCCTTGCTGCGTTTGGTGTTTACCTGCTTTTTAGATTTTCAAAAGTTCTCAGTGGACAAAATCCGCACCCTTCTGAAGAGCAGTTCGGATGATGACGCTATAGCTGATGAATTCATTGCCGATTTTGATGTGAATATCGATCGAGCCACCCAGATTGGCATTTTTGCAATTGCCTTTGCCCCCAACTTGAAAAGTATGCGATCCTTATCTTTTGAATAGCCTGAATTGAAAAGTGTGCAAATCCAATTAAATATTTTCCGATAGTGAAAACGATGATGCGCAGCTGTCTGGCTTCCTTTGAGTCGCTGGACACCAGCCTGATACCTTCCCTGCAGGCCAACGGTTCCGACCTGCACTCCGACGTTTTGGAGCAGCACTTCGACGAGGAAGTGGCCAAGTTTAAGGCTACTCTGCAGGAGATCATTGACAGTCGCGCGTTTCTTGGCTGTTGTTTGGAGATACTCACGTCCGGCATTAGTGCTGCCGAAAAGCACTACGAAAAGGTCCCATTAGAGGACTTGCTGGAAATGGCCCTGTTCGTGCTGGAGCATTTTCAAGTAGAAGTCAATCGAACGGTTTTGGCTGAAACAAAGCTTCAGATCGGGCAGGAGTACTTGCAACAGTTCATCCGAATACTACGCGAGTGCAAGGCCATTATGATGTGTGCGTCCCAGGTGGAGCCAAAACGTATCATCAAGCGCTACAAGATCCTGCGGACGATTTTGCGCAAGCTACATGGCTGTATCGGAGCTTCAAAGTATCGTGAAGAGGGGCCCGACGACTTGGAATCCCATTTAATGGATGAATTACAAGAAGAACTGACTGAAACAGTCAGCTTTTTTCCCAGCTTGTCGGGCATTGCGACTAGTCAAGGCAGCATCCTCTACGACACAGCGCGTAGGAGGAGATTAGCTAGAACCCACGATACAAGGCCTAAAGAAAGTTATCATCGAAACATAAAGTCAGCCAATTACAGTGTGCGCCGCCGTAAGTAAAATTGCCAGCGTTATGGGTTCTGAAATATTCTTGAAAATATGTACTGATTTGCAGGAGAAAGTCTGCGCACTGTTATGTTTAAGCGACAAAATATGGCGGAAAGCAAACGCATTTATACCACAATCAGCAACCAGTCCGCAAACCTCCAGATAACTGGTAAGTCGGAAAAGAATAATTTGTTTGAATACACAGTTATTTGAAAATTTTTTTTAGATATACTCGAACAACTTACTGGAATGTCAACTGGCGTCTTTGAATGCTGACTGCGGACCTTCCGTCATCAGATTGTAAATAATTGAAAATAGTCTTAAGCACTCCGTAATCGAAGGCTCACGATTTGAATTAACGTACATCACAAGCTAAATGCCATTGGGAAGGTGCGACGAGTACAGGGAGACATACACACGCAGATATGTATGGAATTTTGATGGTGGAGAGTGTTTTATCCGAAACAGTGGTTTGGCTGTTGCAAAAATAAAGCAATAAATTAAGTTAAATACAAGATAAGAAGTACATGCGGTTGTACAACGGAGTAGCAGTGCTCTTTTGGCATCTAAAGGCTGCCCAATCGAAAGATGTGAAGCCGTGTGGTCGCAGTAGTCCATATCGATTTTCCGACTCGAACAGAAGAACGACTTTAATCATTGGTACGCACTTACAGCTATTGTTGAGCGTTTAATAGTCAACCACAAATTCTGGATGGTTAGACGACAGACCATGCAATCGCCATTTACCGAAAAGTTAATTTCTGAGGATGAAGTCGAGGCCTCGTCGACGGCCAGCAAAGGGAGGAACAACCACCATGTGGTCCCGCTGGGAATCCTCATGGTACTTTGCACAATGTATCTCGTGGTTGCTGGGGCGCAACGCAATTACAGATACTATTTCGAGCCCGGGGTCGCTGCCCTCGACCTACACGCCCCCGATGACGGCTACCCGCAGCTGGAAGCTATTGAGGATGAGCCAGTAAACAACCTGACATGCGAGAAGCTGGATATCTTCCAAAAAGAACCCGCACAAGAAATTGACAGCAATCATTCTAGCAAACAAATGGCAAAGCCATATCAGTCCAAGGCTGGCAAGCGAACAAGAAATGGAGCAACTGGAGTCGGGGCGAGCAAGCGCCTCCGAGGTGGTAAAGCTGTGGAGAGCAACAGGAAGAAGCAGGAAGCCCCAAAGAAGAGCAACACCGCAGAGCCCATAATATATCTCTTTGCCCTGGTATTTATTTACCTGCTGCTAAAAGCAGCATCCGACATCAATCAGCACTACAAATCGGTAAGAATAATACTTCGTAGGACTTATGGGAATACACAAGTACTAAAATTACATGATTTCTTTGTATACTAACAGCAAAACAAGGGGGACAAACGCTTGCGCCGTTGTTCGTTGCAGTCCTATGCCCAAATTCACAAGCAGGATCGGAGGGCCTCAAAAGGTATTTCTCCAAAAACTTTGCCAAAATTTTAAGGGTGTTATGTAACTCGCTGGGCCGGAGATTACACATCTGATCAGGTTAATAAGGGAACAACTTAAACATCTAAATGTACTCTACTCTACTCGTATTTACTACTATTTATGTATTTAGTAAACTTCCTTTACTGCGAAGCACTGTCCACTCATACATGCATGTATGAGAGCTACGTCTCTGACTATTTCAGAAAAACAAACCCTTATATATTGTATTCTTTTGATCTGTACAATCCTTCTATGGCACCTCTATAATTAGTGATAACTCTATATGTACTAGTGTGTTGATATATGTTTTTGAATCGTCCTCACACTCTGCCTATCTTCACTCGTGTGCTGTGTGAAACTGTACTGAATGTAAGATATGTGTATATATGTGTCTATGTATCTATTAGTTACTGGCAAACACTGTCCTACTATACTATATATGTATGTAAGTAAAGGTAAAATAAATCAATTATTGTGTGCTTCCTGTGATCACTTTATGAGTATGTAGCCATGTCTATGAGCTTGCGTTTCATTTATTTGACTTTCCAAATGGGTGTTACTGTTACTGAAAACATTGCCGATCTCCATATGAACTGATCCGATACTATCTGATCTTCACTTTCTGCACGCACACACGCTTTCACCCGCCTTTCATCACAGTACTCGAAGAGGCGGCGATTTTCCGACGCAGCCACATACTATTGGGAGAGGTGCGGTCCGTGTCGGTCGATCGCTATAAGTACACACTGAACGAGGAGGGATACCACACCGTGTGCACCCCAAAGACACTCGATCAGCAGCACAGGGCCACATCACCGTTAGCTTACAGACCGGCAGGAGATCCTGCAGCACGCTCGGGTACAACACACAGTCACTGTCACGGTATGGTATGTCACGCAAACAGCTCTAAGCCAAACTGTTTTTTCCTGCAGAAACGCGCCTCAATCGCCGCTCATCCGTCCCCATCAGCATAGACTATCAAACAGTTCATGTATCAAATATCAGTCAATACTCTTCCGAATTGGCCAGACGCGGCTCTGTTATTAGCCTCACGGGTCCTAATCCGCCAAATGTAGATCCAAATGCTGTGCCCAGTGGATCGCTTGACTTGAAACGTCGCGTCCGTATGATAAATCGACATTAACTATCGCGTCAACCCATGAATGCTTCAACAACGATCCACAAGACAATCGAATCTATTGAAAGAGATTACAAGAGAACCTACCCAGAAAGAAGACTACATATTTTCCCAATATTAATTGGATAAACCATTGTCATGTGTGTGTTGTTTTTTGTTGTTCTTAATGCGTTTCTTTTAATCAGTTAATTAGTTAATTAATTCATTAAACTATAGTATTATTCAAGTATTTTAAAACGCACCCGCCGATGCAATCGCGAAGACACCAAAAATTTGTACACACGTTTCCCGAATTGCACAAGCGGCGAGCGGCGGAACGAGCAAAATGTATTTTCCTCTTTCCATGGTGCCGATTACTATGGTACATTATTCTACTTAAGGCAAGATTAAAACAATCTTAGGCTAGCGTGCAGCTTAGTTTGGAGTTCAGTACCTACAACATTACCATTAACTACGAGCTAGCTACAATCTTGTCATGATCATTGCAGTGACAATTACATACGTTTATGTATCTAGATTGTTAGGTCGATCTTCAAAGCGGATGACAGGGAGTACAAAAAACTTAATGACATATTTATACTCGTATCGTATCGTATTGGATTATTGAGTCGGAACGGAACGTTAATTTAGAGATAATTATATGGAATATGGGCTGCAATCAGCAGGGGCACGATATGGCTTAGATCTAGTACACTTCAAGGATATTCTACAAGGATTCTTCTTCATCGATTTTTGCGCTAGCTTCTCCTATTACATTAAATTTTAAAATAAATTACGTATTTTAATTGCATGTGGTAAAACAGGAAAGGACAGGACAGGTGTTTATTCCGTTGCATTTAACTAAGCTCGTTACCCTCGTAGAGACTCTCGCAACTCTCCAGCAGACGCAGCACCGGCGATATGTCATACGGATAGAGCTGGCGGGAGACCAGTCGCGATATCTGCAGGCGCAGTCTGATCAGCACGCCCATGGCCTCGTCCAGCATGGCGTTGCCCATGCCAAAGCTGTGGCAGCTGTGCACAAACATGGTCCAGTTCATGCGGATGTACTTGAGCAGGCGCAGCAGATACAGCAGGAAGCAGGTCTCGTTGCTCACCAGCAGGTCCAGCAGCAGGTCCGAGCTATTCGAAGTCATCTTGAGGAACTCCAGAAACGTATACACAGGGTTCAGCATGGCCACCAGTTCGGGAAAGGCATTGTTGCGAAAGGAGATGCCCGACGTCACGTCCAGGGTGCAGACCATGGCCTCAATCAAATGATCGTCCTGGTCGTCGAATAGGTGAATCAGTATCTTGCTGAAATGACACTCCGGGTGGAACTCCAGGGTCTGCTTGATGAACGTTTCCAGCTTGCTCAGCACATCCCGAATGGACCGCTCGATCAGCATCATGTCCTGGAATGCATCGTAGTCGCTCGAGTCAATGGACGAGTCGGACGAATCGCTGCGGATCTCTTTCACTGTCACCGCGATTGACTTTAGCACCAGCAGCACCATCTTCTGCAGCAGCGTCTTGTCCATTTCTATTAGGTCCAGCGGCGGCATTGGCGCCCCATCCTCGCCTGCATCTTGCACTGCAGCATCCGCCGATCGCGCCATCGTCGCTATGGCGATGGCACCATTCGCATAAACAAGGGGTGTGCCGTTGTAGCCAATCAGGCTAACCATATTGTCCGGCTGGCGTCGCGGCAATGATTCGAGTATGCGAAACCCACGGACATGACACACGATCTGGTGGGCCAGCTTGCAGGTCTCCTCGGGCAGCATGTCCTGCAGCGCTAGCGTGGAGCCATAGCACAGCGCCTCATTGAACAGGCACAGCATTTGCTTGTACACGGTGCACGACAGGCTGTGGTTGAGCAGGAGCTCAAACTTGTCCAGCTGTGCGTAGTAGGGTCTTGTCTCGTCGATGGACAGATTGGCCTTGACCGAAATGATGTTCTCCCACAGCTGCAGAAAGTTGAGAACGCAGTGCTCCGCTGTGTCCTGGTGGGTGGGTGCCATCAGCTCCGACATGTTCTTCACCAGCGTGGGCCACTTGTGCTCCAGCTTCTGTATCGTGATACACTTTAGATGTGTGGTGTCAAAGCTCTCGGAGTCGGTGAGAGTGACCACGTGACAGCCGCCGGGTACGGATGCGGGTTGTGCCGGGTGCGGGCTTATCGAATCATCATCGTACAGACCGCCATTCCGCCTACGCCTCTCCGTCTCCCTATCCCTGCTTTCAGGCTCCCTCTCCCTCTCGGCCTCGCCCGCTGCATCCTCTCTGAATTGTAGAGCAAAGTAGTTGGTCGCCAGCGGCTGGTCCTGTACTGGAAAGTGCATGTAGCTTACAGCGGCATCCGCTGGCAGGGCAATGGACGACGCAGCAGCACCAGCAACACTCGTGGTACTCGTCATCCAGTCATCATCCAACGGATGCGTCTCTATATCCTTCCATTCGACAATTCGCTTGATAATGTCCAGGCTAAAGTGGATTTTTTGCACCGCCGCCTGGTCGAGATGCTCGAAATTGAAGAGCTGGTCGACGATTTTCTGAAGCCACTCATCATTCAGTTCCTGTTTAGCAATCACCAGAAATGCGGCTAGCACACGTCCCGCCAGAAATTGCACATAGGAATTGTTGTAGCCAGCCAGCACGATGATCTCGTCGATAAGCTTGTTGTCGTTCCGAATGAGGGCATCACAAACGTCCATTATTCTCGTACAAATGAAGCCCTTGGCATTCTGCTTCAAGTAGATGTCGAACAACAGCTGCAGATTGGACAGAAATTGCAGCAGCTTGTTGGTGGGCCACTCCCTAAGGTAGGCGATCCGTTTCTGGCCGTTTGTGTCCTGCGAGTAGTGCGACTGGAACGGCTTACGAAGCGTTCGCTCCGAAACACCACACAGGCACTGGCGCGTCAG